ACTCCTCTGCCTACTCGCCACTCACTCTCAGCTCTGCCTTCGGATGAGTCCGTAGAGTCGAGTGGTCCGTATGCAGAGCTTGTTGGCTGCCTCATGTACCTGATGACCTGCACACGACCTGACCTTGCATACCCTCTGAGCATTCTTGCACGCTATGTTGCTCCTGGGAGACACAGACCGGAGCACATGGCTGCAGCGAAGAGGGTATTGCGCTACCTGTGCAGTACGTCAGGCATGGGGCTAGTGCTTGGAGGGCGGAGTCCAGTGGTCCTTACCGGCCACGCGGACGCTTCTTGGGCTGACGACCAGGCTACGCAGCGGTCGTCACAGGGTTACACCTTCAGCCTTGGTTCCGGCTCTGTCTCGTGGCGGTCTACTCGCTCGTCTTCGGTTCTCGGCTCCAGTTGTGAGGCTGAGATCTATGCCGGAGCCATGGCTGCACAGGAGCTTCGCTGGCTCACCTACCTGCTGACTGACCTTGGAGAGCCGCCTCGTTCTCCTCCAGTGCTGTACGTAGACAACAAGGCTATGCTGGCCTTGTGTCGAGAGCAGCGCTTGGAGCACAGAACGAAGCACATTGCTCTCCGCTACTTCCTTGCTCGTGAGTTGCAGCAGCGTGGTCAGTTGCGACTTGCGTACGTGGCCTCTGAGGCCAACACTGCTGATGTGTTCACCAAGGCACTTGCGCCTTGTGACCATCAGCGCTTCTGCACCCAGCTGGGTCTTGTGCCTGTCTTGCCTCACTTGCTCTCCTCTTGACTTTACTTGTACTGTGACATATATATATACCTGCTCTTGCTTGTCTAGTTTTATATATATATGTCTGTACTCTTGCTTGTGAACTGGCCTTTGGCCTTGCTCTTGTGCTCGGACTGTGTGGTGACTTTGTGATCCACCCTGAGCTTTGCTTTGTCTTGCTTGACTGGTCTTGTGACCCCTTGTTCTCCCCCACTTTGCCTATGGGGGTGTGTCAGAACATATCTATAGCTTATACTGCTGTGTAGGCTGTAGTGGGGTATCCCATAGGGGGTACAACCCAGTTAGGGTTTCATATTTGTACTCCTTTCATTCATAGTTCACCCCATTCCTGCTTACTCATTTACACAATTTTCACTATACGGTCACATACAAAAAAGGAGCATCGAATATCGCCGACGCACTGACCCGCCCCACTGCCCAGATCCACGCGATACTACTCGCCCAGACCAGCCCACTGCTTACCGGCCTATTTACCCACGGATATCAAACAGACCCGTTCTTTACAGGAGGCAACTCACAGCAATTCGCAGCGGCAAAAGGAGTCTATTACGTAAAAACTGGAACCGACCGCATCTGGGTACCGGGATACACGTTACTTCGGGAACTACTGTTACAGGAAGCACACGACGGAGTTACCTCGGGACATTTCGGGGTAGAAAAAACACGGCAGCAGCTGCAGCGGTACTACTACTGGCCAGAAATGTTGACTGACGTGCAACGACACGTGGCATCGTGTCCCACTTGCCAGCTCATGAAGACAAGCAGGAAGCGACCAGCAGGGCAATTACAACCCATCCCGCCTCCAGAGCGTGCTTGGCAGCAGGTGACGATGGACTTCGTCACGGGGTTACCAGCTGGGGCGAGTGGGAATGACGCGATCCTGGTCGTCGTCGATCGACTAACGAAAATGGCTCATTTCGCAGCATGCAGGAAATCCATCACAGCCGAGGAAACCGCCCGACTATTCATCTCCACCGTCGTACGCCTGCACGGGATACCCGCGTCGATCATCAGCGACAGGGACACGAAATTCACCAGCAACTTCTGGCGGAACCTGTGGCAGCAGTTCGGCACGCGCTTACAGTTCAGTTCATCCTATCACCCCGAGACCGACGGACAGACGGAACGGACAAATCAGACCATGGAGCAGCTGATTCGAGCCACGTGCGACGACCCGAATACGTGGGAACAGCAACTACCACTCATTGAGTTCGCATACAATAACGCACCATCAGCCACGACGCAACAGTCGCCGTTTTATCTAAATTACGGACAGGACCCAACAGTACCCATGACACCGAATCCCGACAACCCCGTCCCACGAGCACAACAGTTCGCCGAGATCCTGCAAGCAGCACGGACCAGGGCAGCAGAAGCAATAAAAAAATCAAACATCATCGCTAAACGCAACGCCGATCGACATCGCAGACCCGTTACTTATCAGCCCGACGACCTTGTTTTACTCGACACTCAGAACCTTCGCCTGCCCATCACTCCAAAACTTCGCCCCCGATATTGTGGGCCATTTCGCATCAGCCACATGATCACACCCGTCACCGCCCACCTCCTCCTCCCCGCTGACTGGTACGTCAGCCCGTCATTCCACGTCAGCCTACTTCGCCCTTACATCCCATCCACGAGCCAACTGCCACGAAATCGCCCAGCCAGCATGACACGTCCCCCAACCGAACCACTCATCACCCCTGAAAAAATCCTCAGCCACCGCGTCCGCGACCCTCGGGGAGCCCGAAGGATCGAGTTCCTAATTCGCTGGAAAGACCGAACGCCCACAGAAGACAACTGGGTCCCCCTGGATAAAATTGAGAACCACCCTGTCTTCACCGAGTATCTGCGAAGCCGAAATTTCCGCGACGTCCATGCGCTCTCGTAAGAGGGGCCTCCTTGGGGAGGGGGGTAGTGTAAGGAAATTCCCTTTTCCTTACTTCGCGTCCCTGCCCAGCGCGTACGTCACTGTAGCACCTCAGTCAGCACCGTTACCACTCGCGACCATCGCATCATTCATCATCCCGCCTTTTTCGCACATCGCATCCCGACCTCACGGCTCGGCTGGTAACCCGCGCTCCGGGCCTACGCTTCGACACTTTCCCAACCTCAGTCCCAGGCTCGACGCGCGACAACCACAGTCCATTACCGTTACCACTATTGTTTCGCTATATAATCCTTCGCTCATGCCTTCGCTCATTGTACTTTTGCTTCGATAGTGCAATTCTCGTTCCTTCACTCAATTGCACACGTAACAAAAGTCTATGTTTGCAAAACGAAATGTGTCCGAACCTACCGGTGGCTCAAAGGGGAGGCTTGGCGGACAGACCGGGCCGAAGCCGGCAGCACTTTTGGAGTATTGGACCAATCAAGAAGCCCCACACCTCGTTTTCGTGGTGGGTGTCTTGCAGGTGTTGGCGGGAAGAACATCGCTTTGGGATTCGCAAGCAACATGTTCTGCACGTCTTTCGTCCAACACGCAATCGATCTTCGCCGAGGGTATGAACCAGCCGCTGAGGGGCTCTGGTAACCACCACTATGCGAAGAGGACTAGTGCTCAGGGCGGACTGGCAGGGCTCTGACCACAAGCTTCCTCCAGTCATCACCCTCCTGACCAGTCAGCCATACAACTCACTCCGAGCAAATCCGGCAATTCATACATGACCGAACACCTTCAGAACATGACTACATCCCAAAATTCCACACGCAGCAATCACTGGCACGCGCTGGTTTGGCAGTCATGCACGCGACCTGGCACGCGCGGGGGTGGAGACATGGAGATGTCTCAAGATGAGGGGGTGGAGAAGGAAGCAATGAAGTCCGAAAGGCAAGGTGGAGCAGCTGCGTGCGATGTCCTCAAACGGGGTGGGCCGGAAACGGCGGCAGGCTCTCTGGACGTTGAGGGCAGAGACGTACTGCGAGGGTTCGAGACCGCCGATCCCGCCGTGTTGTTTTTTATTATAGAGGATGCGTTTGGTGAGAAGCCGGGAGACGAGGCCTGTGTAGTGATGCTTACTGGCGGAGAGGAAATTTCCAACGAGCATGTCCAGCTGCTTAAGCAATCGAGGGGGAGGAGGCTGAAAGCGGCCGCCAAAGGCAATCCGGGGGATGACCCTCTCAGTGACAAGGGCAGCGCGGCACGAAGCAGTGAGGTGGAGTTTGGAGAGAAATGCGATGGTGGATGAGGCTGTGGCGAGAATCTGTTCCCACGTCCTGACTCCAGGTTGGGTCTGTTGAACGAACACACCCAGAATACGTTCAGCGTCTTCGGGCTGGCGCACCGGAATGGGGCCTGCATGCATAATCTGCTGGTGCGGGATATTAAAGGGGAGGATGGAGCACTTATTCCAGTTAGGCTGTTCCCCGGAGACCAGGGCAAAGGAGTCCAAAAGCTGGGAGGCAGTGTGAAGTTCGGAGTCTGAGTTGAGGAAAATGGAAATGTCATCGGCATAGCATGCTGCCAGACGCCGTTGGTGGTTAGAGAAGGCGAAACCCGGGAGGGCAGAGGACAGATGGCGGTGAAGGACCTCGATGACACAGATGAACAAGAGGGGGGCTAGGGGACAGCCTTGACGGACGCCTGAGCGGACCGGGAAGTCGGGTCCTGGATGATTATTGACCAGTACCCGGGTTGAGGTGTCAGTGTGGAGGAGGCGTACCCAAGTGATGAAGTCGGAAGGCAGGCCGAGATAGGACAAACACTGGTACATGAACTCGCGATCTACTAGGTCGTATGCTTTGCGAATGTCTACAGTGAGTACAAGGAGGGGTACGGAGCGGGCAACTGCCCATTCCATTAAGTCGAGAGTGTCGTTGATCGTATCTCCAATGCTACGCCCACGCACAAAGGCTGTCTGGGCGGGGTGGATAATGTGTCGCAGAACAGGTTGAAGACGGTTGGCGAGGCAGATGGCGAGAATTTTGTAATCAGCATTCATGAGCGTAATAGGGCGAAGATCCTCGACCATTGAGGAAGCCTGCCGTTTGGGGATGAGGACAGTGCGACCACCTCTCATAGAGGGGGGCAACAACTGAGAGCGCCAGATTGACGCGAAGAGTTGATGGAAGACCGGGCCGAGGAGAGCACGGTAAAAGCGGAAGAAGTCTCCCGGCAGGCCATCGCTGCCGGGCGTCTTGCCAGGGGCGAGAGAGGCCATTGCCCGATCAATTTCGGCAAGCGAGAAGGGCGCCTGTAAGGGAAGCAACAAAGCTGACGGTGGGGATGAGGGGGGGAGGTGATGCCAGAAATCCGACGGACGAGCGGGTTGGGGAGGGGCCCCGTAGAGGTTGGAAAAGAAGGAGGTGCAGTGGGCGGTGATTTCGCCGAGGTTGGAGGTGAGGCGGCCAGAGGGGAGTGTGATCGCGGAGACTTGCGAGGCCTTGATATGAGAGTTGAGGCCACTGAGAAGAGACGGGACCCCCATCTCACGGGCCCCCTCCACTTTGAGCTTGGCTTTGAAGGCGATATCAGCGGCACGAGAGGAAAGGTATTGTTCCAGCTGTCGGGAAGCCTGCTGTAGACGGTGCTGTATAAGGGGGTTATGGGGGAAGCGAAGGAGGGAGAGTTGGCACGTAGCGACAACCGACTGGAGGTGCGTCATTGTCTTGCGGACACGGGTGCGTTCTTCCGAGGGCTGAACTTGAGTCCTTCCTGGCCATGTCCCCGCTCATTCACCCCCCACGCCTGGAACCTTGGGTCCTACTGGCAGAACCTCTCCCCTTTAATCGTTTTCTCCTCAAGCCGGACGGGCAGCCCTTTGGTGGTCTCAAAGAAGAACTGCCTCTCTTCACCCTCCAACTCCGCCTTGGTCATCTCCTCACCCCTACAGAGACTGGTCTTCGTCGCCTCTCCAGAGTTGAAATTTTCCGTCAATTCCCTACTGCTCGTTTCCCCTGCAGCAGACGTATCCTCACTGCCATTATCGAAGCGGTTCCTCTGGACTGGTGGGAGGTCCTACTCCCTTTTCAACGCCCTCTGGGTTCCTTGGCTGCAGGCGATTGGACTGTCCCTGTCTCCCCTCCTCCCCTCTCTCCCCCTCAACTTCTGCAGGTTCGGTTCCCATTACCAGGAGGTCTGGTGGTAGCAGATAGGTATGACATCAGTTGTAGACGTGTAGGCAGGGAACCCGCCAGTTGCAGCATCGTCCCCGAGCGCTCCCTTCTCACCATCCTCGTCCGTGACAGATGGATCCATGGCCCCTTTTGCTCCGGTGCTGGGTTAGCTGATCGCATAGACTTGCTCCGCCCTGGACCACCATCCTTAGCAGTCCTTCGCAAACAGTTCTACCGCCCCCAGCCGCTCTCCATACAGGAAGCCTGGTCGACGGCGTTACAGATCCCTGTCCCTGCACTGCCCTCGCTTAGACACCCCTTTCTCCGCGAGCAGCCCAGTCGCCCCCGTGACCTCCTCCTCCGCCTTTTTGCACGAGCCCTTCCCACAGGTGCCCGGTTCCGCTTCATGGAAGATGGTGGCAGCTGTCGTCGCTGTCAACCCAGACCCCTTGAGACCCTCCTACACGTCTTCAATGAGTGTGGCCCAGCGGCGTCAGTCTCAGCGGCTCTCTGTCGGGTAGCCCGCTCGCACCTGGGAGTGACTGTCCCGGCTCCGCTTGTATTCTTCCCTCTCTCCCACCCTGCTGGACAGATTGCACCTTGGTGTTTGTTGGTGGGCGCTGCTGCCAAGACCCTCTGGGATGAGCGCTGCGCGGCTGTACATCAGCGCGAGTCTTCCTCAGCCATCTCCATCCTGCACCGTGTCCTAGGAGCTTTCCTTTCCGCTTGCAAGCTTTTCTTCTGGCAGCGGAAAGTGCGGTCGATCAAATTCCAAAGAGCAACGGCATCCAGGGTTCGCTACGCCCAGTCTCTCCGCCTCCTGTGCTTTGACTCTTCTTTGTACCCTTCAATACACCCAGCACTACAACGGACCTGGCTCCTGAACGACCCTTTCCGCCCCCCGTGAACGTTGCATCCTCACCTAGGCCTGGTACCGGCCATCAGGTGGTCCCTGGTGCCAGCGGGAGTCCTGCTGGGCAGCTAGCACGATACAGTGCAGGTTGTTTTTACGACCTTGATTCGTCATCATTGCTGTTGCTTGTATCATTTGTATTGGTTACGACCATCAATAAAACTTAAAAACTTAAAAACTGAAATCGCGGGAGACCCCAGGGTCACCCACGCGGGGTTACCCACAACTCCCCAGCAAGTACCCCCGAGGTTACCCCTGAGCAATTACACGTCAGCAACTCGAAGGGAGCTCGTCGCACACATTTGTAAGTGAACATTTGACCAATCAGGAGGCTGGTCAGTTCGTTGGGTTACCCCGAGGATACTCCCCAGCTTCTGAGGACGAATCAGCACCAATCAAAATCTCGCTTCACTTTGGCTGCCGAGGCAGCCACGTACGGCAATTCCAGACAGTTGTACACTTCTTCTCTAGACCTGTTGGTAATATCTATAACTGCGGTTTTCTGTTTGTTTTTGTGATTTCTATCGCATCGCTCAATATGCTGCAATACAGTGATGGGTTGAGTTACGTGGCACATTTCAACTCACGAACCAATCGGAGCTCTTCCACATCACCTTCTACTCATCTCCTCTTCTAGCACCTTCAGACTACTTATCGACCCTCCTCTTCACACAACCCGTCATTTTAGCTTCATTTTCAACACGTGATACCCGCGTAGGACAGCTACTACGGTTACAGCTCCAGATAGTGGAACAGCTCCTCCGTAATCGTCGCTAAGCTCTGTTTCCTGAAGCCTCTTATGCACGCTTAGGGATTTTGTTCCTTTTCTTTTCACTGTTGCCACGGTTTTTATGACATGCGTTTACTTGGGGTTATTTCGTGATCGATTCTTTATGGCAGATTATCGAATCCGGGAGCAATGCAAGCTCCTTCGCAGACATCGCGTAATGACGTGAGAATCGTTGCGGCACCGGGGCTCCAGATAGTGCTTACGGGGTAGGCTACCCGCTTGTGATCTTCTCGAAATGCTTGACGATGTGGTTGCATAATGAGCGCCGCACACTCCGTTTGCTTCACGGCGTCGCTTTTTATGTGCTTTTCATTGCCTCTGTTTTGTTTTTGTCGACAACCTGGTTTCCTGTTGCTTTCGCCATGTCATAGTTTTCTTTCATTGCAATCCATTGCCTTTGCGCCGTGTTTTTGCAGTCATTGGATAACCAATAAGTTACTATTGCCGCCTCCTACCTAGCAATACTTCTTTTCTGGTAAGCAGATTTCGCATAGTTCACTGCTGTGGCGTGAAAAAAACGGCCCGTTCCATTCCACTAATTGTTTCCTGCTGCTACTGACATTTCCCCGCTTGTTTCCACTATCCATTTATGACAGGCAATATATTGTGCCTTCACTATAAGCGAAGACCGCTGAAGCTGCTTTTTGGTACTCTAATATTCCGTGTCTACACAGTCGTTTATCTGCATGTTAGCAAGTGTTCAATATATAAATTTATTGCATGCAATGGTGTAGTGCCAATCTTAGATTAATGATTAATGGAACTACTCATTGTCCTCAACTTACAATCTCTGCAGTGATCTATAGTGTATTTTGATATGCTTAATTGTGAAATAATATAAGCTGAAATGGAATCGGCTAATACAAATTTTGAATGTGCCTATAACAGAATGTAGTATTTAAATGTTGCACAAGATGTTGCTCTACTTTTCTTTAGTGCTGGTTAGTGTACTGTCGGCAGAATTCTATGGTGTTGGCGATACATTTCACAGCGCGTACGCGGGTGGCGTACGATTCGTTCCCACAAGTTGGGAAGGTGTCAGGGGGGTCACACGTCTCGCGTCTGATTCGCTCCCGCAGGTTGGGAGGGTCACTTGTGGGTCACCACCTGTGGGTAACCTCGGGGTCACCACGCGAAGTGAAAACTGCAGAGGTCACCCGCGGCTTACCTAGACAAGGACCCCAGGGTATCTCTCCAGGGGGTAAGATGGGGGTAACCTGGGGGGAGCTTTTTGGGCCAAACTTTTTTGGGATGTATTCTGTAGGTTTCCGTACAACGACATAGCTTCTCCAGCACAACAACATTATTCCGTGCTGATTCGGAACGTTGTTAGAGAGAAGAAACCCGGGTGAGCATATTGAATTCGAGCGGCCTATTCGTTTTCCTCGCACGGCCTTCATTCCGATCGTCCTTCGAAATGCACCTTCCAACCCTATCGCCATCACCGCAGCCGGGCATTCTTCCGTTAGGGACGCATGCAACGACGTCTTTCGACGCAATTACTGCTCAGCCTGCTCGCAGTCCCAGAGCCTTCCGTGCAACTTACTTAAACTCGCAATTCACCGTTCCTAGAACTAGTAGGACCATTAGTGGTAGCAATGCGGTGCCGACTCGGAGGTTAGCGACTCGGAGATTCGGTCTTAACAGCAGGGGGAAGTTGTCAGTCAGAGCAATCACCGGGTCAGATTCCGCCAGCGGATCCACCGGAACATCCAGCCCGTCCCCTTTGCACGAATCACCGTCTTCTGCACCCGTGGCGACAGCTGCCGTTTCCACCGATTCAACCGATCGTAACCGCTCGGAAAACGACAGCATTGACTCTGATTCGCAGCCCGGGTCTCCTGGTTCACAGGTTACAAACGAAAATGAGCAACCTGTTCAGTTGAACGGCAAGGGAGGAGTGATTCCGAGGTCCGCCGCGAGAGACGGTGAGGAAGACGCCGAATTGCGGCAACAGGAGGTGAATGAGCTAATAAAGAGGTATGCTACAGTGGAGCAGGTCCGACGCGAGTACGTGGCGCCTGACATATTCGATTACCTCGGCGAGCTGCGTGCTTTTATTGAATCTGATGGGTCGTCTAATAGCGGGTCAGGGGATAAGGACGGGCGGGTGGCGAATAGCAACGGGTTACAGATGCCATTTCCATTCCAAAATCCGTTTCAGTTACCGTTACCGTTACCCTTACCATCCACAGAGTCCCTGAGCCTTCTAGAACAGATTCTCCCTATTCCGGATGTTCTCAAGCCTCTCCTGCCTGATCTCGGGAGCAGCAGAAGAGACAACAGCAGGAGCAACGGCAGCCGGAGCACCAGCAGCAGCCAAAGCAGAACAGGCAGCAGCAGCAGCAGCACAGAAACGGCAGCAGCAGCAGTCCCACGGTTCTTCTGCCCGTTAGACGCCAGGCCACCAACAGCAGAGCAGCAGCAACAGACAGGAGAATCTCTCCCACGCCTGCTGTTTCTCCCTGGCGTGGATGGGGTTGGCTATGGCCTCAAGCTGCATCACAAGTCTCTTGGGCGGTTGTTTGAAGTCACATGCCTGCACATACCGCTGTCCGACCGAACAGATTTTCAAGGTAGGCTTGAAGTTTCAGAGAGTGCGTGCATGCATCTGTGGGTGTTTGGATGGGGTTGGCTACGGCCTCAAGCTGCATCACAAGTCCCTGGGGCGGCTGTCTGAAGTGACGTGCCTGCACATTCCGCTGTCTGACAGAACCGAATTCCAAGGTATGCTCTCCCAGTCTGTGGAAGTGCACGCATGCTCGCATCTGTGGTTTTTTGGATGGGGTTGGCTATGGGCTCAAGCTACACCCCAAGTCCCTTGGGTAGTTAGTTGAAGTGACCTGCCTGCACACACCGCTAACTGATAGGGCCGACTTCCAAGGTGTGCCCTCCATCTGTGACCATGCGTGCATCTGTGGGTGTTTGGAAGGGGTTGGCTATGGGCTGACACATGCACCTCTTTCCCATACAACCCCCCCTACCCGCACCCTCCATCCATTCCCAGGCCTATCCTTTCTGGTGGAAGCTTAAGTTCTGCAGGAGCACACGCAGTCGCCCAACCATACCAGCCAACCATACCAGCCAACCATGCCAGCCAACCATACCAGCCAACCATACCAGCCAACCATGCCAGCCAACCATACCAGCCGACCATGCCAGCCAACCATACCAGCCAACCATGCCAGCCAACCATACCAGCCAACCATGCCAGCCAACCATACCAGCCAACCATGCCAGCCAACCATACCAGCCCAGGACGCATGTATGCACCTCTTCCCCATACCACCCTTCTGTGCTCCCCCTCGTGCGCCATCCTTTCCCCAGGCCTGTTATCTCTCGTGGAGGCTGAGGTATTACAAGAGCACGAGCAGTCGCCCAATCGGCCGCTCTTTCTCGTGGGGGAGTCGTTCGGTGCTCTGCTGGCTGCTGCAGTGGCGGCAAGAAACCCCTTTCTTCCCATCAGCCTCGTTCTCATCAACTCAGGTGAGCATGTCTTCTTGTGTGGCCCTCCCCCCTTTTCACCCACCCCTTCCCCCCACTCCTCTTCGCTTTCAATCTGACCCATCCTCCTCCAATCATTTCCCCGTGCCCTCCCTGCCAGCCAGCCCAGCCAGCCCAGCCACCAGCCTCCCCCTCTCCTCCCTTCGCCCCTCATTCCTCTGCTAAAGAGCGTCCATGTTGCGGCGCCTCAGAATCCCCTCTCTCATTCTCCTCCTCCCTTTCCCAATGTTTTCCCCTTTTTGCTCCCCCATGTGTCACAGAACATAAAGGTAAAAGCATTATGTTCTGTTACATGCTTGTGAGGTGTAGAGGGGTGTAGCTTGTAGTATTCAGTTTCAGCGAGGGCTGGTTGGGTTCTGGAGGGTGACGTGAAGTTGGTAGAATAGGGCACTGCTGGGTACAAAGGGGTTGGATTCAGAAAGCCTCGAGAGACAGGAAATCAGGATCGGCCAATCCAAGGCCCAGGCGACTCGAGCCCAATTCACTCGCCAAGAAATTGGCAACATGGGTGAGGGTGAATAAAGTAGCCTAGGGTAGCAATCGCATCCCTGTTCTCTCGTTTGTTTGCCTAAAATAGTGGATTTACGTTGCCGTTCTAACGCTACAGCAGCTAGGTGACTAGGCCACTAAGGGCAGCCATCGTGTGGGAGCCAGAATCTCTCACAAACGAGAGAACAGCTTTGGCAGTATGGACTGCCACGAGCTGCGTTGGCAGCAGATGGACTCGCGTCGGGAGTTTTCACCGTCGCGGAGGATGCGCTCATTTTGGCGCGGGAGATCGCGGACGCGTTCGCCACGGAGGACGGCGTACCGCGCGGATGGGGGCTCACCCATACGAGGGCGACGAGGAGGAAGCCAGGGCGATCCGCATGCGAAGGCGGAGCCCAGGCCTCGTCCGTCCGGAAGTGATCCTTGGAATCTGGCAGGTGGCCAGCAAGGAGCGGGAGAAGGGCGTCATGACGACGCGGATATGACGGACTCGCCGGAATCAGCAAGGAAGGCTGACGACGAGGCAGATTGCGAAGGTGTCACCACTGCGCGGGGCGGCGGGGAACAACGCCTAGGCAGGGAGGAGGCAGATCTGCAGAATCGAGGTGCAGAAGAGCGTAATAGCGACGCGGAAAAAGATCCTGCATTAGAGGGGATGTGTGAAGAAGGCAGAGTGAGGTGTCGAGGGAACACGGCGGCGGATTGCTCGCCGGACGACAGGCGGAAGGGAAGCGCGAGGCGCCGCGAGAGCGCGGATGCAGCTGGTGCGACGGATGAAACAGATGGGAGTGGCGAAAGGCTTCATGGCAGCGGGGATGCAGCTGGTGCGACGGACGAAAACGAAATGGGTGGGAATGGCGCGAGGCGCCGCGGAGAAGAACAGGCGGATGCGAAAGAGGACGATCTGCAAAGCGATGGCAGAGATGGACGCGAAACACGCGGATGTGTAATGGAAGAAGATCGTTCGGCGAACGAGATGCGCGGGGGTGGCGCGCGGCGCCACGAGGACATGGCAGCAGTGCGTGCGAGAAGAGATGCGCGAGGGAAGTGCGAGGCGCCGCGGGAGCATGAATGCAGATCGTTCTGCTGGCGAAATGCGCGGGGGTGCGAGGCGCCGCGGGGGTGCGGATGCAGCCGGTTCGAGTGACGGAATGCGCGGGAATGACACGAGACGCTGCGGGAGCACGGATGCAGACAGTTCGGCGGGCGAAATGCCTGAGAATGGCGCAAGGCGCCGCGGGAGCACGGATGCAGACAGTCCGGCGGGCGAAATGCCTGAGAATGGCGCAAGGCGCCGCGGGAGCGCGGATGCGGATCGCTCGCCAGGCAGGCTGCGCGGAAGTAACGCGAGGCGCGGTGAAGGCAAGGAGACTGAGCGCGCGCCAGGAGCCAGCCGTGAGGAAGAAAGGAGGCGGGACGTGCAGGCGGGAGTGTATAGCTCGCCTGAGCCAAGAAGCGGACATGAGCGCAGGAGGCGCATAGCGTTGGGCGGATGGCGATCACCAGAGCAAGGAGGAGAAGGAAGTGAGCACGCCCACGAGAAGAGGCGCGCGCGGCGCTCGCGTGCACGGCAGCGGACGGAGGAGAGGGAAGCACGTGTTAACGGCAGTGTGTGTTGGTGGCAGTACATCACGGGTGCAGATGCGAGAACACACCGGAAAGGAGTAGACGAGTACCCATGCGCGGGAGCGGGGTTGGTGCAGGATCCTGTCGGAGAGGCAAGGGGGAGGCAGGAGAGAGAGATAAACAGGAGAAGGGGTGAGGAAGAGCGCTGCTGGCGAGAGGTGTCCCCAGGGAAGGACTCGGGAAGTGACAAAGGAAGAGGAAGAGAGGATCATGAGCGCCGAGGAGCAGGCGGATGAGGGAGACGTTGTGAAGGAGAGTCCCTTGAGAGGAAGGAGTGGAGGGAGAAGATGAGAAGGAGTGATGAGGAGCTGCGTGAAGAGAAGGAACATGAGTACAGTGAAGAAGAGTACTATGGGTATGATCTGGAACGGCGCCGACGCGGGAAGCCGGAGTGGCGGGAGAAGAAGTCATGCCCTGAAGAAAGAGAGGGGTACAGGGGAAGGCGAGAAGGGCGAATGGAACCTGGAGCGGGGGTGAGGGAGAAGCAGGACCTGAGCGGACAGAGGAAGAGAGGTGACAAGCAGCACATGCGACGGGAGGGGATGCGCAAGTATGAAACAGAGAGCGGGGAAGAGGAAGAGAGTGACAGGCGGGCACGCCATGGATCAAGACAAAGGAAGGAAAGCTGGGAAGAATATATCCCTGGAAGGAGAGAAGGGCTTAGGAGCAGGCAAGAAGAACGGAGAGAGTTTCGTGAGAGAGAGGACTAGCAGCAGCGGGAAAGGAGGAAGCGAGAAGGGCGATTCCAGGATTATTCGCCTGAGAGGAGAGAAAGGCGATGGGGGGAAGCAGGCGGGCGAAGAGAGGCTCACGAGGAGGAGCAGAGAAGGAGTCCGAGTCCGAGGGGCCCCAGGAGGCCACGGCAGACAGGAGAAGGATCTAGCGAAGCCAGAGGTGCTAGAGAAGGGATAGACAGGGTGCTGTGTGGGACAAGCACAGGCAGCAGGGGAATGAGGGAGCACAGAGGAGAAGTTAGCCGCGCGGAGCGAGGAGCAATGGGAACCTGGGACTCAGGGAGATGGGGCATGCAGGCGCCACCACAAGTAGAGGTGCCAGTGCGTTTCACGGGGAATGGAGGGACAAGCACTTATCTAAAGAATTATCTGATGCAGATTGGGAATGTCAAGTACAGGTGCGATTGGAGTGGGATGGACCCCCTCGACTTCTTTTTGAGTTTGCCGAACACTTTGGGTGGGGAAGCAGAAACATTGTATCGCATGAAGATGCATGAGTGGCTGAGGAGGATGGGGACGACCCTACGTCACTGTTCCTGGAGCGGCTGCGCAAGCAATTCCCAGGACACACGGCAGCGCGAATCAGGGAGTTTCAGGACTTCAAACGCAGGAAGGATGAGTCGCTGCTGAAGTATTATGGGCGGCTCATGAACCTGGCCGAGGATGTGGTGTGTACCGACAGCAGCATGCTGATTAGTAAGTTCCTGGCAGGATGGGACGACGGGCTGGCCGGAGGACTGAAAATGAGAGTATACGAGCTGGGGGCAGAAGCAAGCCTGGAGGAAGTGTTTGAGCTAACAGAAAAGGTGGAGCTGGCACAGAGGCGTTATGAGGCATACCTGCCAACAGTGGCTGAGAAGATGCGAACCACCTGGGCGGCAGCAATGATACCGGGGGTGGGAGGCGGAGAGGAGCAGCAATATGAGAGAAGGACAGACACGAAGACCTGCTACAGGTGTGGACAGCCAGGACATGTAAGATTGAAGTGCAAGAACTGCGACGTGTGTGGGAAACCAGGGCACCGCCGTCAGAACTGCCCTGACGCGCCAACCTGTGAAGTGTGTGGGAAGAGGGGGCATCAGCAGAAGGACTGCTATCAGAGGACTGGGGGAGCAAGGAGGTCACAAGAGGAGATAGAAACACAGATAGGAAGGCTGCGGGCTCAGCTGCAGGCTTTGGGAGGCAAGAAGGAGAAAGAACCAGGAGTGTACGCGAGGGAAGAGGAAGAGGAGGAAGAGGAGCATGAGCCAGAGCACTCCTGTGCGGTGCTGCGTCGCCATGAAAACCTGGGGTGGAGCAGTGGGGGCAGGGACGGACGAAGGAAGCAAGTGAGTAAGGTGGGGGCATGGGTGTGTGTGCAAGTAACACCAGAAACGGAAGAAAAGGACAAGAAGGTGGGGGCATGGGCGGATGAACCGGTAGCGGTAGGCGCGGAAGGGAAGGACGAGAAGGTGGGGGCATGGGCAGCAGCAGAAGGGGAGGAGAAGGACGAGAAGGAGGGGGCAGGGGCGTGTGAACTGGTAGCAGCCGGTGCGGAAGAAAAGGACGAGCAGGTGGGGGCATGGGAGTGTGCACCAGCAGCAGCAGAAGCAGAGGAGAAGGACGAGCAAGTGGGGGCATGGGTGTGTGCACCAGCAGCAGCAGAAGCAGAGGAGAAGGACGAGCAAGTGGGGGCATGGGTGTGTGCACCAGCAGCAGCAGAAGCAGAGGAGAAGGACGAGCAAGTGGGGGCAGGAGCGTGTGTAACAGCAGCAGCGGAAGCAGAAGAAAAGGACGAGAAGGTGGGGGCGGGTGTGTGTGTAACAGCAGCAGCGAAGGCAGAGGAAAAGGAAGAGCAGGTGGGGGCGGGAGCGTGTGTACCTGCAGTAGCAGAGGCAGAACGGAAGGACGAGAAGGTGGGGGCACGACCGTGTGTACTAAAGGCAGAGAAGCAAGTGCAGGGAAGTATGAGGGCGGAGCAGCATGTGAGGAAGCTGAGGGAAGAACGTCCGGAGCTGCTGGGGGAGAAAATGGTAAAAGAAGCCGTGAGAGGAGCTGAGACGGGTGTGAGGAGCATAAAAGTAGGGATGGCGTGCGACTGGGGGACAGGAGACCTACGGGTAGGAGGATGGGAAGGTCCAGTGTGGGACAAAGCCCAGGAGCAAGAGGAAGCAGAGAGGGAGAGCAAGGAAGTGGGGGCATGGGAGTGCCTGCCTGTGGGGGAAGAAAGGCAGCATACAATGGAAAATGCGACGAGTCAGGAAGCAGAAGAGGCCGTGAAGACGGTAAGGTGGATTAAGGGAGGAACATGGGCAGATGAGCCGATGCGGCTAGCATCCCAGGTGCTGTCAGAATCCAGGGGAATGGAAGAGGCTGAGAAGTGGGCGGCCTGGGAGGGAGGCAAGGCAGTAGGACACCTGAAGGAAGTGATACTGGCATTGGTGGAGGACCTACATGTGGTGCAGATGGGGGATGCGTGCAGCTATGAACAGTGGCAGCAGCTGGGTGGCAGGGGGACAGAAGAGGCTGTAGGGGCAGGGCAGACAGAGACGGACAAAGGAGGACAACAGAAGAGGGGGCGGGTGCAAGCGGGGCGAAGTGTGGGAGTACTGGAGCTGGAGAAGACGAAGAGAGAGCTGACCGTGGCAGGAACCAGACCCACAAGGCACGGATGAAGAGCAGCCGTCCTCAGCTGGGAAGTCCTGTGTCTCGGGCCCGAGCGGCTTGAGCACGAGCACAGGAGGGGGCAGGTAGTGGCTGAGTACGAAGAAGGGAACCAGGGGACCGGGACAAGATAGATGCAAGGGTGAGAAGGAGAAAGCAGCAGGAGTACAAGGACAGAAGCAGGTAACGCAAGAGGGGTTTCTCCGACAGCTGTCACAGAACATTAAGGTAAAAGCATTATGTTCTGTTAGATGCTTGTGAGGTGTAGAGGGGTGTAGCTTGTAGTATTCAGTTTCAGCGAGGGTTGGTTGGGTTCTGGAGGGTGACGTGAAGTTGGTAGAATAGGGCACTGCTGGGTACAAAGGGGTTGGATTCAGAAAGCCTCGAGAGACAGGAAATCAGGATCGGCCAATCCAAGGCCCAGGCGACTCGAGCCCAATTCACTCGCCAAGAAATTGGCAACACGGGTGAGGGTGAATAAAGTAGACTAGGGTAGCAATCGCATCCCTGTTCTCTCGTTTGTTTGCCTAAAATAGTGGATTTACGTTGCCGTTCTAACGCTACAGCAGCTAGGTGACTAGGCCACTAAGGGCAGCCATCGTGTGGGAGCCAGAATCTCTCACATGGTAGTGGCTGAGTACGAAGAAGGGAACCAGGGGACCGGGACAAGATAGATGCAAGGGTGAGAAGGAGAAAGCAGCAGGAGTACAAGGACAGAAGCAGGTAACGCAAGAGGGGTTTCTCCGACACATGTACTCTCCAGCCACCAGCAGCCAGCTTCCCTCGCTCCTCGCTCCACCCCTTCCTCCCCTATTCCTCTGCTAAAGAACATTTTCCACCAGAGGTCACAGCCAGCCAGGTTCATGTTGTATGGAAATCACTTTTGAGAATTCTCAGAAGTGAGGTCACAGCCAGCCAGGTTCATGTTGAATGGAAATCACTTTTGAGAATTCTCAGAAGTGAGGTCACAGCCAGGCAGGTTCATGTTGAATGGAAATCACTTTTGAGAATTCTCAGAAGTGAGGTCACAGCCAGCCAGGTTCATGTTGAATGGAAATCACTTTTGAGAATTCTCAGAAGTGAGGTCACAGCCAGCCAGGTTCATGTTGAATGGAAATCACTTTTGAGAATTCATGTTGAATGGAAATCACTTTTGAGAATTCTCAGAAGTGAGGTCACAGCCAGCCAGGTTCATGTTGAATGGAAATCACTTTTGAGAATTCTCAGAAGTGAGGTCACAGCCAGGTTCATGTTGAGTTGACGTGCCTCAATCAAAATTCCCTCTCTCATCCTTCTCCTCCACGTTCCCACTAACTTCCCCTTTTTGCTCCCCCCCGTATCCCAGCCACCAGCTTCCCCCGTTCCTCCCTCCAGCCACTCATTCCACTGCTAAAGAATGTCCCTCCAGAGGCCTACACAGCTCTCCCATTCCTTTTCAGCCTCGCCATAGGTAAGTCAAGCAGCAGATTTACTGAGGTGGCGCGAAATTCGCCTGCTCTTCACATCATAAGGTAAGCCCACTCCGCCCTTCCTTTCCTCTTCAGCCTTGCCCTTGTCCTTTGGGAAGTCTCAGAGGAACTCCCCCGTTCCTCGTTACAGCCGCTCGTTCCTCTGCTAAAGAGTGTCCCTCCAGAGACCTGCTCTGCTCTCCCCTTCCTCTTCAGCCTTGCCACAGGTACAGTTTCAAACCTTTTTTCTTTAGATTTCTTTTCTCCTCCTCAATTCACGTCCTCATACCTCTGCTGAAGAGCGTACCCTGCCTTTCCTACGATGCCGCGTAACATGTGGTAGTTCGCCATTTTGTTAGGCACCGCAGAAGTCACTTCTTTTTCCGCACCCTCCCCCCTTCTCTCCCGCCTCCCTCTCCTCACTCATTGCCTCGCAGTGAACCCAATCCGCATAGCATCTGGCGGTCTACCTCTTGATGCCTCTCCCCTTGACGCCTTTCCCTTGGACCGCTTGGAGAAGCTAAGAGACAATCTGCTCGCCCTGCTGCCCTCTCCTTCCCTGCCTTCCTCCCTCCCTCATTGCCTGCCATCCAGTGAACCCAATCCGCATAGCATCTGGCGGTCTACCTCTTGATGCCTCTCCCTTGGATCGCTTGGAGAAGCTAAGGGACAATCTGCTCGGCCTGCTGCCATCCCTCCCTGTAAGCAACTCACTCATGCTGCTGCTTTTCTGCTTGAAATCTCTCCCCATGACGCCATTCCTCTTGATGCCTCTCCCTTGGAGAAGCTAAGGGACAACCTGCTCGGCCTGCTGCCATCCCTCCCTGTAAGCATGCCGCCTCTACCTGTAAGCCACTCCCTCTCTCAGCTGATCTCTCTCCTATTGATACCTCTCCTATTGATACCTCTCCTCTCGACGCCTCTCTCTTGGACTGCTTGGAGAAGCTAAGGGACAATCTGCTCGGCCTGCTGCCATCCCTCCCTGTAAGCCTGCACTCTGCTGGTGCTTTCCTGCTTGACACCTTTCCTCTTGACACCTTTCCTCTTGACCCCTCTCCCCTTGACGCCTCTCCCCTTGACGCCTCTCCCTTGGACCGCTTGGAGAAGCTAAGAGACAATCTGCTCAGCCTGCTGCCCTCCCTGCCTGTAAGCTGCTCCTTCTCATACTGCTACCTTTCTTGATGATTCTTTTCTTTGGACCGCCTGGAGACGTCAAGGGGTAATCTGCTCACCTTTGTGGTCTCTGCCTGTAAGCCTCCTCCTCTTCGTGAACCCTCACCTCTTCAAACCCCTGCCCTTTACAGTCCTCTCCCTTGACGCTTCACACCTGCTGGAAATGCTCCTCACGGAAATGCTCCCTCAAGCCACACTGGAGTGGAAGCTACACCTGCTCTCGGGACAGAGCAGAACATTCTTTCCTTTGCCCATACGATACCCCCATGCCCCACACACATGCCACATGCGCATTGTTTCAATCTACATAGCTCCTCACGGAAATGCTCCCTCAAGCCACGCTGGAGTGGAAGCTACACCTGCTGGAGTGGAGACAGGCTGTTCCTGCCAATCCTAAACCCCCATGGCCCCCATGCCCCCCATGCCCTACATATGTTCTCTGCTTCGCTCCCTCCAGCTTCTCACGGAGTTGCTCCCACAAGCCACGTTGGAGTGGAAGCTACACCTGCTGGAAACAGGCTCTGCCTTCACAGAGCCTCTGCTGCCTTCCATTCGTGCGCCAACACTCATTATTGCCGGGTATGTGTGTGGTTGTGCAGGCATATGTCTTCCCATGTAGCCCCCTTCCGCCCTGATTCACTCTCAAACACCTGCTGGAGACAGGCTCTGCCTCCACAGAGCCTCTGCTCCCTTCCATTCGCGCGCCGGCACTCATTATCACCGGGTATGTGTAGTGTGTGGTTATGCGAGGTTGTGCAGGTAAAGTGCTTCCCACATAACGCCCTTCCGCCCTGAGTCACACGCAGTGCCTTAACAAGAGAATTCTGCATTCAAATAGTCTCCAAAAAGCCCCTCCATCCAACCATCCCCTCTCCTATTTCTAGAGCGACTACCTCCTGTTTCTCAGCAAGCAGGGAGCCATTCAATTGCTGGAGATGCTAAACAGAGCCAAGCCAGAGATGACTTTTGAGTCGACTCAAAGTCACTTCGATTGGTGGAGGAGATGCTAAACAGAGCCGAGCCAGAGAAGTCCCTGTAGCCACTGCCCTGCCTCGCCTAGCACGGTGTCACTTGTGTGTTCCGCCCCATTGCTCCCACTCTTGTTGACTTGACTCTCGTCGTTGGTCCCCACAGGAGTGACGACCAGCTCCTTCCCAGCAAGGAGGAAGCTGGTCGCCTGCAGGAGATCCTAACCAGAGCCTAAGTCCTTGAAGTCACTCCCTTGCCTTGCCTTATACACTGTCACTTGTTTATGTTTCTCCCCATTGCTCCCATTCTTTCTCACTCCCGTCTACTCCCCAGGAGTGACGACCAACTTCTTCCCAGCAAGGAGGAATCTGGTCGCTTGCAGGAGATTCTTACCAGAGCCAAAGCCCGGACGGTGGTGCGGGTGTTTGAGGGCTCAGGGCATGCGCTGCTGCTGGTGAGTGCTGCTCTATGCGCTGCTGCTGGTGAGTGCTGCTCTATGCGCTGCTGCTGGTGAGTGCTGCTCTATGCGCTGCTGCTGGTGAGTGCTGCTCTATGCGCTGCTGCTGGTGAGTGCTGCTGGTGAGTGCTGCTCTATGCGCTGCTGCTGGTGAGTGCTGCTCTATGCGCTGCTGCTGGTGAGTGCTGCTCTATGCGCTGCTGCTGGTGAATGCTGCTCTATGCGCTGCTGCTGGTGAATGCTGCTCTATGCGCTGCTGCTGGTGAATGCTGCTCTATGCGCTGCTGCTGGTGAATGCTGCTCTGTGCGTTGCTGCTGGTGAATGCTGCTCTATGCGCTGCTGCTGGTGAATGCTGCTCTATGCGCTGCTGCTGGTGAATGCTGCTCTATGCGCTGCTGCTGGTGAATGCTGCTCTGTGCGTTGCTGCTGGTGAATGCTGCTCTGTGCGTTGCTGCTGGTGAATGCTGCTCTGTGCGTTGCTGCTGGTGAGTGCTGCTCTATGCGCTGCTGCTGGTGAGTGCTGCTCTATGCGTTGCTGGTGAATTCTGCTCTGTGCGCTACTGCTGGTGAATTCTGCTCTGTGCGCTGCTGCTGGTGAATGCTGCTCTGTGCGTTGCTGCTGGTGAATGCTGCTCTGTGCGTTGCTGCTGGTGAGTGCTGCTCTACGCGCTACTGCAGATATGCCTTGCTCTTTTCGCTGCTGCTGGTACACCTGTGCAGAACTGACAGGCGCAAAGCACATCATCTCCTTTCCACCTTTCCCCCCTCCACCACCACCACCACCACCACCACACTCATCAGGAGTCAGGGTTGGACGTTGCCTCACATCAAAGGGGCGCACATGTGCAATCAGAGGCGAGGAGACGACCGTGCTTTTGAGAATTCTCAAAAGTGATGTTGCCTCACGTCAAGGGGGGTGTTTTGATTGAGATGTCTCAAAACACGCCTCACGTCAAGGGGGGTGTTTTGATTGAGACGTCTCAAAACACGCCTCACGTCAAGGGGGTTTTAAAGTTTAAAGTTTTTATTATGGTCATAACCGCATACAGTACAACACCACAAGCATGGCGAAAGCCAAGGCCTAGAAGACCTACGCTAGAACAGCATTACTTGTCTATCAGAGATAGAATGAAGGCCAAGGCCTTTATCGGATTGTACAGCTAAAGAGAGGCATTCTTCTAGGGGGGATGAAATGTTTCGTTCAGCAGCCAAGATTCCCGCAGAGCTGGATGAAGCTGCGGAGTCCCGTCTGGCGCGAAATTGAGGAGTCGAAGTGCTGCGGCGGCTTTGACACGGTTGGAAGTGGCGCGTTTCTTTTTGTCAGACCACTTAGAGCGGCGGATGAAGTAGATTTTGCACGAGGTCAGGAAAAGCGCTAAGATTCGGTGTAGCGTCTCGCTCCGGGAGTACGTCGTTTGCTCATAGAAGGCAGCGCATCTGTCCCTCCAGAGAATCGTGGCTGCAGCGCCGATAAGTAGGCACCATGGAGCGATGAGACTGGATGTGTGTGGAAGTGGGAAAAAGACTGCTGCAGGTTCGACGGTGGAGCTCATGTGTCGAGATGCGACGTGTTGAATGGCCTCAACAACCGCAGGCGCTTGGCCACAATCGAAAAACATATGAGGAAGGTCCTCTATCAATGGAGGTCCACAGCGGGGGCAAGTGCCGCCAGTGGCTGTGAAGCGGTATCTGGAGCCAGAAGGCAGAGTGAGAGTGAACAAGCGGAAGAGGATGTCACGGTGTCGAGAGGGTTGATCTTTGAGGAAGGAATGATTATAGCCTGGGAGGAAGGAGATGGGATTCCGCACCATGACATTCCATCGTTCCAGGTGGTTGAGAGGCTGAGATTGATAAAGCAGGTTCCTGATATCCGCAAGTGAGGGAGAGCCGGCGAACAGCTCATGACGTGAGCCGAGGGCAGGGCCAGAGTCGAAGGGGCCTGCAAGCCATCGTCCTTTGACGTGGACGGGAATTACATCCTTGAACGCGACCGTGCAGACCCCGCCGCACTCCACAGCCACCTGTCTTCCTTGGAGCACCTGGAAAATGTTGACACGAGCTTTAAACCCGGGAAGGAGAGAGGATACGCGAAAAATGCGGGTGGGAATGAAAGTCTTGGCGAACTCCAGAGCCCAATCCCCGACCGCGAGATAGTTCTTTCTTGGGGAAAATCTCCGAAGAGTATCCCACCAGTTGATAGGAATGGCGTCGAAGATGCTCAGAATGAGAGTGCGGCTGCCTGGGTAGATAGAGGGGGGGAATTTATCCAAGATCTCCTCTTCTTCCATTCGTCTTGCACCAAATCGTGTGGAGATAAGTAGGTTATATAAGTGGACTTGATTAGAGAGCAGAAAAAGCTCGTTCTTGAGGCGGCCGAACGGTACATTCGGTTCCTTGTTGATGAATCGATTAAAGGGGATAGGTTCAGCCATGAGGCTCCAAGGGTCCAGCCGAGGCGGCTTCACGACTGAAGGAAGGGGAAGGGTGGCTTCCAGTTCTGCACGAAACCGACTTGGAACCTGCGGGGGGAGGAACTTGATGATGGAGGGGTGGGCAAAATAGCAGTGCAGCCCGAGTGGAACTGGGACGCAAGAATGGGCGATGTCCTCATACGGAGTGGCTCGGAAGCGCCGCGCGGCACGTTGGATGCTTAAAGCGCGAATGTGTGCTGAAGGTTCAAGAGCCCCGACACCACCGTGCTTTTTCTTGTTGTACAAGATCCTTTTAGGGATTCGGCGTGTCGCCAGACCATGCTCTTTATACTGGGAGTTGGAAAGGAAGATGCCAACAACACGGTCAATCGTGGTGATGATAGGGGAGGGGGGAGGTTGGAATCTGGCGCCATAAGCGTAGAGGGAGGAAAGTCGTTCTGTGGAAAGCAATGAACGACAAGTGGTGGTGGCCTTGCACTGAGCCAGAAGTTTAGTGCAACCTCTGATACGGAGCGTGATGTTGTTCCAGGTGGTAGCCCCAGGCTGACATTGTTCCACATAGATGCCCAAGATCCTCTCAGGGTCGTTAGAGCCTCGGACTGGAATCTGACTGGTGTGGAGCAGCGGGGAGTTTTGCATGTTAACAGGAATGAGAGAACATTTTTCCCAATTCGGATGCTCCCCAGACATGGCTGCGAAGGTGCTGAGGGCTTGGGTGGTCACCTGAAGTTCGGTTTCAGAGTTGAGAAAAAGAGAAATGTCATCGGCATAGCAGGCTGCGAGACGTCGTTGTGATTGGTTGAATGCGTAGCCGGGGAGAAACTCTTGTAGGTATCTCTGCATCACCTCAACAACGCAGACAAAGAGAAGGGGGGCAAGAGGGCAACCCTGACGGACACCTGAGCGTACGGGAAAGAGGGGGCCAGAGAAATTGTTAACTGACACTCTAGTAGAGGTGTCTGAATGCAGCATGGACACCCAACGTATGAACCCAGACGGAATGCCCAGGTGCTGCAGGCACGCATACATGAAAGGCCTGTCCACCATGTCGTAAGCCTTCCGAATGTCGACGGTAAGGATTAGAAGTGGGTCTTTTTGTGAGGCAGCCCACTCCAAGAGGTCCAATGTATCATTTATAGTGTCGCCTATCCTCCGGCCTTTAATGAACGCCGCTTGCGCTGGATTGATGAGCTTTGGTAAGGCGGCCTGTAAGCGGTGCGCAAGTATGAGAGTGATAATTTTGTAATCCGCATTCATCAACGTAATCGGCCTGAGGTTCGCAACTACCTCAGAGCTCCCTCTCTTGGGGATGAGAACAGTCCTACCGGTTTTCATAGAGCCTGGAATCTGGCCCTGAGAGTTGATGTTACGGCAGAGGGAGAGGATAAGAGGGGAGAAAAGGTTCTTGTAGGAGCGAAACAGCTCACCAGGAAGCCCATCGGGACCGGGGGTTTTTCCTCTGGAGAGGCGACCCAGGGCGGACTCAATTTCGGCAAGGGAGAAAGGCTGATCCAGGCGACTGCTGCATGCGGGGGGCAGAGCAGACGGGCGGACATGGTTCCAAAAGGAGGGGTCACGTGAGATGGTAGCGCTTCCGTTGTATAGTGTGGAGAAAAACTCAGTGCAATGGGAGGACATGGCTTGGAGACTGGAAATTTTTTCACCAGAGGGGAGCTTGAGATGGGGAATGAGGGAGTCCTTGATTCTGTTTTGGAGACCCACAAGGAGGGAAGAGACGCCCATTTCCCTTGAGCCTTCTACCTTCAGCTTTGCCTTAAGCGCGATTTCCGCAGCCCGTGAGTGCTCGTAGGCTTCCAGGCTGGCAGAAAGGAGGGCTAACCGATTGGCACCCTGCAGGTCGGACGGGTTTTTTAGCAGAGACAGTTGTAAGTTGCACACCTCGTCACAGAGAAAGGAGGTGGTTTTCCTGACCCTGGTCTTCTCTTCCTTACAGTACCATTGGAGCTGTCGGCAGAGGCGAACCTTCCACCTATCCCAGTCGTCTATGGTGAAATCTGATTGGAGTTCCTGCGCGGAACATTCCAGCAGGGAGCGGACGAATGGCTTGGGAATTAACTGTTGCGGAAGCCGCTAGGGTCTGGGGGCCATGTTGGGGTTCCAAAACCGCAAAACAACAAGCGGCCCACGGTTGTGGTCAGAGAGGGTATGCGGGACAGAAACATAGGAGGCGTGATGGATACGTGTTGCCCAGTGATTTGACACATAAGCTCTGTCGATGCGAGAGGAGGAGAAGGCAGAATCCGGGCCGCTAATTCTCCTGAGGGACGAGAAGGAGAACATGGCCTTGGCAGGGGAAGTGTGGCGATAACAGTCAACGAGCGAGTGCTTCATGATAGTGTCTTTGATCATCAACGCCTCCGTGCGTTCTATGGGCTTGAGATCCCGGTTCCTGTCGATGGGGAGGTCAACAGCATTAAAATCACCTGTGAGGATGGTTGCGGCACTAGCTGAGGGTTGTTCGAGATAATGGGTTACTGTAGAAAGCCACCAGGCACGTCGGTCCAGATAGTAGTTGGGCGCATACACTGCAAGGATTCGGAATTGTTCGTGTAGAAAATTACAATGAAGGTAAAGACATCTGCCGTCGCCCGAAGAAGCTCTGCTGGAAATGGAAATACTGGGATGAAATATTAATACAGCAATCCCACCAGGCTTGGGTTGAGCGTTTGATGAGAGGCGGGGGGGAACTTGTGCGTAAGCCTTGGGTTTTAATTTGAAAAGCAGGTGTGAAAAGTTGGTAGTCAGCCTGGTATCAGTAAGAACGAGAATGTCCACAGGTTTCCTTGTGAACCATGATCTGAGGGCGTCCAGTTTAGGAGGGGTATTGAGACCATTCACATTGATGCACTGAAGTCTAAGGTGTGTATCCATTATTTAACAGAGGTAGAGGCCCCTTGTGTTCCGTAGAACACACATCCACAGGGGCGGGAAGGCGATCCAACTTCAATATGACTCCTGGAGTAAAGAAGAAGATAAGAATTGACACAAGGCACCAAGCCGAACTGTATGAAAACCTCTTGCTGAGATATCAGGCCAGAAGGGAAGAGAAGTGTACTAGTCGTTACGCATACCCAGATGTAAAGCCATCCTATCCCAACGCGAGGAAGGCGGCAATAGCCTGGTTCTGATTGAGGATGTGCACTTTCACTTCCCCAAACTCTTCCAGGGGGGTGATGCCACCAAAGATCGACTGAGCGGCCGCCTTGTGAGAGGGGCAGGCGATGTGGGCCATCGCACTGTCTAGAGCCCAGCCGCAGCGGTAGGAGCACAGGACACAAGTCCAGACCTCCACCTCTAGGTCTATCCCAATGAAGAAGGTTCCCGGATCCGCCTTGAACGAAGCCACAGAGGGATGCTGTCCAATGATCCTGGCTGGGAATCACCACGGGGAGGAGGTCAAGCATAGCAGACCAGCAGACCAAGATAGGCAGGAAGAGAAGGAAAGTCCAGACCAACACCGCGGTCAAATCGTGAGAGGACAAGCTCCGCGAGTAGCAAGTCAGGAAGAAACCGGAATCGACCGGAACTGGGAACTTCGAAGAGCACAACCAGAGGGAACCACAGCACAAGAACACACGACCAGCAAGAGAGAAGGGATTGGGGGGGGGGCGAGTACCATTGACATTTTGGAGCTGCCCAAGAGTGATGGCGAAAGGGTTGTTGATATGGCTCCTTCGAACCGCCGCGAAGTTGCTATGATCGCGTGTCCGATGATTGCTGGAGCACACTCCGCACGAGTGTGCCGAGACATTCACCAAGATGGGCTCTTGGACGTTGGGTACCCAGATCACCGCAGGGATGGCCTCGAACATGGGGTCGTTGGGAGGCGCAACAGCAATACCAAGCATCTGTGGGAGGAAGGATTCCTCGTAGGGATCACAGAGCTTGTGAAAAAACAGGAGATCTCCGAGCCATCTAGCACCATTTGAAGCACTTGACACGAGCAGTGAACGAAGAGTCTGGACAGCAAAACCCACGGGCACGTTACGCAGAACCAGCACAGTTTCGCCACGGGCCTTGGCAGCGGAGAAATCGGGAGCGGGATCCTGGTACACCTTGATCTCCGCGGACGGCCCTTCAGATGACCGGTAGGTGATCGGAAGAAGCTGCTTGAACCGGTTCGCGTCATCGACCGACGGCCATTGGAGCAGATGACGGCAGTACGAGCGACGAGGAAGGCGCAGGAGCTCGCCTGCAGAGGCCTCAAAGACCGGGACGCGGCCGCCAGCGAAGTCGCGACCACGCAGGATGCTGCGCACGCGGGTTAAGATCCGACTGCGGTGCGCCTCAAGCGCCTCAGGGAACAGAAGAACGACAAGTGCGTCAGTGTCACGGGCCAGTGCCGCGACGACGACTCCCACAGTCTCACGGTTGCGCCGGAGGCGCTGATACCGGCCGGTGATGGCGAGGGCGACCACAGGATTAGCCTCCTGGGTCGACGTTGAAGGAGCAGGCGCAGCCGAGGAAGGACCGGCTGCGGGAGCCATGACCGGAGAGACCGTCGACACCACCGGGGCCGCGCGGGGAGCCACAGGTGCAGAGCTGGATGATCCGGCAGCACAGACGCGTTTCGCAGGGGGAGGAGCAGAGACAGCGGGGGTGACCGCTTCTTCAGCGAAGGAGTCAACCGAGAAGGAAGCACCGAGCTCCTCCTCACCCATGAGTTCGTCGTGGTTGTGCTGGGAGCCCATTGCACCAGGTGGTAAGGACAGACTGTCATGGTAAGTCGATTTGTAACAAGGAAACGCGGTTCGACGCGGAAGAGGTGAAAGGGTAGGCAGTACGAATCGCGGCAAGGAATGGACATTAATTGTTCCAATTCCAGATTTGAAAGAGCTGTGGCTTCGGCGATGGCCTAAGCACACGGTAACCAGCAAGGATCCAGCGAGGAAGCAAGGAATCGCGCGACGTGCATGGAGAGAGCACACAGGAGGACGCACCGACACGGCGGGTCGTGACGCCAGCACCCAAGCGCATGGCTGGGAGTAGACGTGGAACGAGCAAGATTGAGAAAGCAGGGTTTTCCAGGGAGCGTAAAACCTCCTGGGAAGCCAGTCCGGAAGGGAAACGAGGAGCGCGGACAGCCAAGGGAGCTGTTGCCGAGTGCGCACACAGGAGCGTCGGCAGAAGGGAGTTCTGTGGAAACCACCAAGGAGTGAGATGAAAGCAAGACCCACCAAAACATGCCGAGACAGCCAGAAGAACCGATCCAAAAACAGAAAGACCGTGTGAAGAAGGGAGACCCTAACCTGCAAGAACACCAAGCAAACCGGAGCAAAAACCGAGCGAAACGAACAGAAAACATGGCGAAAACCAACCTCGAAACACAACCAAAAGGAGAAGCGAAACTCACCTACCACCGACCAGACCTGGAGAAACAATAGCCAGAGGACAATGGTCCTGGCATGCAGGCTGACGCGGCAGCGTAGCAGAGGGTGAGAAGGCTGGAGCTCCGAAGTTGCGGGAAGCGGAGAGTAGTTCGACATCGGGAGGAGTCTCGAGTGTCTGATGTGAAATGCGTTACCTCACGTCAAGGGGGGTGTTTTGTTTGAGACGTCTCAAAACACGACTCACATCAAAGGGGGGCGCACATGTACAATCAGAGGCGAGGAGACGACCGTGCTGCAACCACAACCAGCACAATGACTTATGCATCTCAAACCTTCCCATCTTAACACACTCACCCACCCACCAGGATTCAGGCTTAACCTCGCTTCAACCATCGAGAAAGCGCGCATGTACGTTCAGAGGCGAGGGGACGACCGACCCTGTTTGGTCTGAGGCCTATACCCCAACCCCCTTCTCCCCCATTTCTTACCAGGAGTCAGGCTTGGATATTGCTTCCACCATCAAGGGAGCGCACATGTACGTTCAGAGGCGAGGGGTTGACCGACCCTGTTTGGTGGCTTGCAGGCTTGTAGCAGTCAACCCCAGCCTCTTACATCCCCCACTTGTACATGTTTCCTCACCACTCCCCCCCATGCACACACCCACCCACCAGGAATCAGGCCCAGACCTTGCCTTCACCATCGAGGGGGCGCACATGTACATGGGGGTCCGAGGGGAGGCCCTGTACGTTCAGAGGCGAGGCCCGAGGGAACGACCCTGTTTGCTTTTTGGCTTTTTACCAGGCCTACCTACCTACCACCATCTGCACCCTAACCCCTACCCTCCACCAGGAATCAGGATTGGACCTCGCTTCAACCATCAAGGGCGCCCATATGTAGATTCAGAGGCGAGGGGACGACCCTGTGGTGGCGGGCTGGCTTGTAGTTATCAACTCTACCAGAATGAACATTACGCCCTCCCCACCCCTCAATAGGAATCAGGATTGGACCTCGCTTCAACCATCAAGGGGGCCCATATGTACATTCAGAGGCGAGGGGACGACCCTGTGGTTGCAGGCAGGCTTGTAGCGAGCGATCAACCCTTGAATCTGACATCCCCTCTTCTTTCCTCTGCACTCGCTTCTCTAACACCCACCAGGAGTCCGGTTTAGACCTCGCGTCAACCATCAAGGGGGCCCACATGTACATTCAGAGGCGAGGGGACGACCCTGTGGTGTCAGGTTTCCAGCCTCCCACTGTTCAGGAGCTAGCTCGGGCCAAATCAGGGCTCGACGGGTGCGTTGAGAGGATTTGAGTACAGCAACAAGGTATATTCTCTGTTTTCTAGTGAGAGCCTGTGAGTTGAGAGGCGAGGGGATGACCCTGTGGTGGCGGGATCTCATCCTCCCACTGTTCAGGAGCTAGCGCAGGCCAAATCATGGCTGAACGGGTGGGTGTTGACGGGTAGATAGTGGTAACAAGGTGTTCTAAAGTCAAAAGGCAAGAAGGAGAGGGTTCTGAACTGAACTGTAAGAGTTGAGAGGCGAGGGGACGACCCTGTGGTGGCAGCATTTGAGCCTCCCACAGGGCTGAACGGGTGGGTGGGTGGAAGGGTGGGAGCAGAGGGTTTAAAGCCTCCTGCTTAAAGGTTTTCGCTCCAAACCCTTTCGCGCAATTCGTGGATGCAGTTTCCTCGCCCCGCTGCTTCTGAGCTGACTTTTGAGTCGACTCAAAAGTCTCCTCGCCCCGCTGCTTCTGCTGCCTTGTGTCCCTCTCTGCAGTTGTTGTGGCTAGTTATGTTTGCATTGAGGTGACTTTTGAGTCGACTCAAAAGTCTGCTGCCTTGTGTCCCTCTCTGCAGTTGTTGTGGCAAATCATGTTTGTATTGAGGTGACTTTTGAGTCGACTCAAAAGTCTGCTGCCTTGTGTCCCTCTCTGCAGTTGTTGTGGCTAGTTATGTTTGCATTGAGGTGACTTTTGAGTCGACTCAAAAGTCTGCTGCCTTGTGTCCCTCTCTGCAGTTGTTGTGGCAAATCATGTTTGTATTGATGTGACTTTTGAGTCGACTCAAAAGTCTGCTGCCTTGTGTCCCTCTCTGCAGTTGTTGTGGCTAGTTATGTTTGCATTGAGGTGACTTTTGAGTTGACTCAAAAGTCTGCTGCCTTGTGTCCCTCTCTGCAGTTGTTGTGGCAAATCATGTTTGTATTGAGGTGATTTTTGAGTCGACTCAAAAGTCTGCTGCCTTGTGTCCCTCTCTGCAGTTGTTGTGGCAAATCATGTTTGTATTGAGGTGACTTTTGAGTCGACTCAAAAGTCTGCTGCCTTGTGTCCCTCTCTGCAGTTGTTGTGGCAAATCATGTTTGTATTGAAACTGATTATTTATTTCACGAGCACCCTCCTCCTGTGCTCCTACTCCAATATGATTTTGAGACGTCTCAAAACTACACTTTTATCTTGTGGCGAATTATGTTTGTATTGAAATTAATTATTCATTTCAAGAGCACCCTCCTCCTGTGCTCCTACTCCAATATGATTTTTTTTGCTTCACTACACTCCTGAATGCAGGTTTCTTCGCCGCTTCTGCAGCCCCGTTTTTCTCTCAACAGTTCTTGAGGAATCTCCTAGCAATGCGATTGCTGCTAGCGAATCTTCCAGTAATGGAGGTCGTCATAATGGGACTGCTAATAAAGAGGCTAGTAACGGGGCTGCTAGTAACGGGGCTGCTAGTAACGGGGCTGCTAATAACGGGGCTGTTAGTAATGGGGCTGCTATTAACAGGGCTTCTGGTAATGGAGCCGCTGTTTCGGACTCGCAAAATGGAAATGCAAGCAGTAGAAGTAGCAGCAGCAGCAGCAGTATATCAACAGAGCAGCACCAAAAGCAGCAGAAGCAGCAGCAAGAGCAGCGGCAGCGGCAGCGGGTGGTGGTGGGCTTAGAGGGATTGCCAGCCTGCGAGCGGCCGCTGCTGTTTGTGGGCAATCACCAGACTCTGGCGCCGGAGATGAGCGTTTTGGTATCAGAGCTCATGGCGCACGGCGTGGTGGTTAGAGGCCTCGCGCACCCCCTTGCCATCGAAATGGTGAGTACATCACTTCACCAGCTGGCTCACTGTTGTTTGTGGGCACCCACCAGACTAGGAGTACTAGACCAGCAAACCACCAGACACTGAGGAATAGTAGCAGTGAGAGAGTGTACATACCTTGCGACCACCAGACGCTGGGGAATAGTAGCAGTGAGTGAGTGTACATACCTTGCGACCACCAGACGCTGGCGCCGGAGATGAGCGTATTGGTATCAGAGCTCATGGCGCACAGCGTGGTGGTTAGAGGCCTCGCGCACCCCCTTGCCATCGAAATGGTGAGTACATCACTTCAAAACCAGCTGGCTCACTGCTGTTTGTGGGCTGGCTCACTGCTGTTTGTGGGCTGGCTCACTGCTGTTTGTGGGCTGGCTCACTGCTGTTTGTGGGCTGGCTCACTGCTGTTTGTGGGCTGGCTCACTGCTGTTTGTGGGCTGGCTCACTGCTGTTTGTGGGCTGGCTCACTGCTGTTTGTGGGCTGGCTCACTGCTGTTTGTGGGCTGGCTCACTGCTGTTTGTGGGCTGGCTCACTGCTGTTTGTGGGCTGGCTCACTGCTGTTTGTGGGCTGGCTCACTGCTGTTTGTGGGCTGGCTCACTGCTGTTTGTGGGCACCCACCAGACTAGGAGTACTAGACCAGCCAACCACCAGACGCTGGGGAATAGTAGCAGTGAGTGAGTGTACATACCTTGTGACCACCAGACACTGGGGAATAGTAGCAGTGAGAGAGTGTACATACCTTGCGACCACCAGACACTGGGGAATAGTAGCAGTGAGAGAGTGTACATACCTTGCGACCACCAGACACTGGGGAATAGTAGCAGTGAGTGAGTGTACATACCTTGCGACCACCAGACACTGGGGAATAGTAGCAGTGAGTGAGTGTACATACCTTGCGACCACCAGACACTGGGGAATAGTAGCAGTGAGTGAGTGTACATACCTTGCGACCACCAGACACTGGGGAATAGTAGCAGTGAGTGAGTGTACATACCTTGCGACCACCAGACGCTGGGGAATAGTAGCAGTGAGAGAGTGTACATACCTTGCGACCACCAGACGCTGGCGCCGGAGATGAGCGTATTGGTATCAGAGCTCATGGCGCACGGCGTGGTGGTTAGAGGCCTCGCGCACCCCCTTGCCATCGAAATGGTGAGTAGATCACTTCACCAGCTGGCTCACTGTTGTTTGTGGGCACCCACCAGACTAGGAGTACTAGACCAGCCAACCACCAGACACTGAGGAATAGTAGCAGTGAGAGAGTGTACATACCTTGCGACCACCAGACGCTGGGGAATAGTAGCAGTGAGAGAGTGTACATACCTTGCGACCACCAGATGCTGGGGAATAGTAGCAGTGAGTGAGTGTACATACCTTGCGACCACCAGACGCTGGGGAATAGTAGCAGTGAGTGAGTGTACATACCTTGCGACCACCAGACGCTGGGGAATAGTAGCAGTGAGAGAGTGTACATACCTTGCGACCACCAGACACTGGGGAATAGTAGCAGTGAGTGAGTGTACATACCTTGCGACCACCAGACCCTGGCGCCGGAGATGAGTGTGTTGGTATCAGAGCTCATTGCGCACGGCGTGGTGGTCAGATGGCTGGCACACCCCCTAGCCATCGAAATGGTGAGTACATCACCCCCTAGCCATCGAAATGGTGAGTACATCACCCCCTAGCCATCGAAATGGTGAGTACATCACCCCCTAGCCATCGAAATGGTGAGAACATCACCCCCTAGCCATCGAAATGGTGAGTACATCACCCCCTAGCCATCGAAATGGTGAGTACATCACCCCCTAGCCATCGAAATGGTGAGTACATCACCCCCTAGCCATCGAAATGGTGAGTGCATCACTTCAAAACCCCCTAGCCATCACTTCATCACTGCTGTTTGTGGGCTGGCACACCCCCTAGCCATCGAAATGGTGAGTGCACATGCAGAATTCGCAGGCCAAACCAACCAACCACCACCAGACACTGGGGAAGTGGCATAGGGGGAATAGTAGCAGTGAGTGAGTGTACTTTCCTTGCATGCAACCACCAGACCAGACTCTGCCGTCGGAGATGAGCGTTTCGGTATAAGAGCTCATGGCGCACAGCTTGGTGGTGAGGGGGCTGGTCTGGTGCACCCTCTAGCTATGGAGATGGTGAGTGCATAGGGAGAGATAAACCACCCACCAGACTTGGCGTCGGAGATTGGCGTTTTGGTATCAGAGCTCATGGCGCATGGCGTGGTGGTTAGAATAGAGGCCTGACGCACCCTCTAGCCATCAAAATGGTGAGTGCACACGCAAACCTGGTGGGATGTACTCAACAAAACATCCAAAATCTGTCCCCTTATACCCCATTCCCGCAGTTCCACGATATCAACCTGCTGGTGGAGCAGGGCGAGCAGTACAAGGTGTTTGGGGCTGTCCCTGTGACCCCTTGACTGTGAAGAACCCAATGCCCTAACCCCTTATGCTCTATACCCGAACCCCTTATACCCTACACCCTAACCCCTTATACCTTCAGTTCCCCGATATCAACCTGCTGGTGGAGCAGGGCGAGCAGTACAAGGTGTTTGGGGCTGTCCCTGTGACCCCTTGACTGTGAAGAACCCAATGCCCTAACCCCTTATGCTCTATACCCGAACCCCTTATACCCTACACCCTAACCCCTTATACCTTCAGTTCCACGATATCAACCTGCTGGTGGAGCAGGGCGAGCAGTACAAGGTGTTCGTAGCCGTCCCTGTGACCCCCGCCAACACCTACAAAGTTCTCGCCAACAAGGAAGGAAGCTGCTGCTGCAACCTGAACAAACGCTTTAACCCCAAACCCAACACCCAATGCCCTGTAACCACAGTTCCACGATATCAACCTGCTGGTGGAGCAGGGCGAGCAGAACAAGGTGTTCGGAGCCGTGCCTGTCACCCCTTAAGACATTGTCCATGCACATGCCCCATATGCCCCACAAACCCGAAACCCTGATCCCGCAGTTCCACGATATCAACATGCTGGTGGAGCAGGGCGAGCAGTACAAGGTGTTCGGAGCGGTGCCTGTCACCCCCGCCAACACGTACAAGGTTCTCGCCAACAAGGAAGCTGCGCTGCTGTTTCCTGGAGGCGTTCGGGAGGCTCTGAAGAAGAGGGTGAGCGATTGTTGAGTGGGGTGCGGTGTGGTGCGGTGGGGTGCAGTGGGGTGAGCAGGTGATTGTGGGCGTCTGGAAGGTGCCTGTGGGTTGATTGAACTCGTGTTGTGGTGCTTTTGTGTTGATAAGGGGAGTTGGGGAAGGGAGTGTGCAGGAATGGTATTACGTCGTGTGTGGGCGGGTGGGATGGGTGGGGGTGGGTGGGGGTGGGTGGGGGTGGGTGGGGTTTGGTGAAGGCATTTGGGTTATGGAAAACTGACGCTCATTTGCTTAGTCTCATTGCCAAAAGAAAATTCTTTTCGTTGACTAGAAAAAAATCATTTCTGGCAAAGGCTACCACTTTCTATCGCTGACTTGTATATGGCTTCTGGCAATAGATATCACTTTCTACCTTTTTTTTGGTTTCTGCTGTGTCGCCCGCAGGGAGAGGACTATCAACTGTTTTGGCCTGAGCGAGCAGAGTTTGTTCGCATGGCGGTGAGTTGCGCTTCATTACTGAGTGATTCGTTATAGAGTAACTCACGACTGATTCTACGTGGCAAGATATCAAAACATGTTGGTTCTACAACGCGTGGTAATTGTTCCATGGTTGGTCGATTGGGATGAAAGGCGTGATTCTGGTCGTTACAATTTCTCTCTCTCTCACACATCTTGTACTCTAAGGCGTCTCCAAACTTCTATAGCTACATAAAGTGCCATAAACATGTCTGGTCTTTTCAACACATCTCCGAGGGGCTCTGTGTGTGTATTTGCTTCATCTACAGTGTTGTTTTATTAGTTCTTCATGTTTTGCTGCTTCCTGTTTCATGTGGTGTTTTTGTGAAGTACAGGCAAAGCACGAAGCAACAATCATCCCCTTCGCATGCATTGGTGTGGACGATGGGTTCGATGTGAGTGGGAGGGAGGGAGGGAGGGGGTGTGTGTGACTGACTGTAGGGGGTGTGATAGACGTAATAAGGGCAAAGCATGAAGCAACAATCATCCTGTTTCCATGCATTGGCGTGGACGAAGGGTTTAATGTAAGTGGGGTGGGAGTAGTACCCACAACTGTTAGGCCTGTAAAAGTATAGTCATTATGACAGCCTGATCCAGCTGTAAAGGCCATTTTGCTCCATATTCATCTCCCCCTTTCGAATACTTGCAGATTCTAGTAGATGCGGACGAAATGCCCAGTGTGCCCGTCATTGGTCCCATGGCAGTGGAGGGCGTGCAGGCATGGCCCAGAGTCAGGTAGGGTTCAGTGGAGTGCAGTGCGGTGCTGTGCGGTATTGCCCCAGTGGTTAAGGTGCAGAGCGGTAACACCCGATTCTTATTCTCGTAGATGCGGATGAAGTGTCCGACGTGCCCATCATCGGCCCCATGGCAGTGGAGGGCGTGCAGGCATGGCCTAGAGTGAGGTAGGTTTGAGCCGGGTTCAGTGCGGTGTAGTGCGATTAACAGCAGTGAAGTGCAGTGGTGGGGGGCATTGCGATGACGTGCCCAGCGTGACCATCATCGGCCCCATGGCAGTGGAGGGCGTGCAATCATGGCCGAGAGTCAGGTATGGATAATGGTGCAGTGCGGTGAAGGTGCAGTGCAGTGTGGTTCAGGGGGGTGGTTGGTTGTGCAGAGCAGGAAAGCCTGACAGTGAAGGTCTAGTGTGGTGCAGTGCGGTCAAATACCTAACGCTCCCGTCATTTCCCCTTGGCAGTAGAGGGCGTGCAGGCATGACCTTCTGGGGCAGTAGATGCAGTGTGGTGCATAGATGTTCAGAGGGGTGGAGCAGACATGATGGCCCATATTTCACTCAATGGGGTCCTTGCTTCTTTCCACACCACTGATTGAACTCCACTTTCTGTTCCGTTGTAAAATCCTACCTGAAATTTGCAGGGATGCAGCAGCAGCAGGGGCAGCAGCAGAGCAGTTCATCCCACCAGTTGTGGTCCCCAAAGGCCTCAACCGCCTCTACTTCCTCTTCAGGGCACCCATCAGAACAAAGGGTGAGCGCTGGTAGTGGTGGTGAAACAGGTGCAGTGGTAGTGGCCGTGGTGGCCCAAGAGGCAGTGATAGTGGTGATAACTTGAGGGGCGGCAGCAGAGCAGTTCATCCCATCAGTCGTGGTCCCCAAAGGCCTCAACCGCCTCTACTTCCTCTACGGGGCACCCATCAGAACAAAGGGTGAGCGCTGGTAGCGGCGGTGAAACAGGTGCAGTGGTAGTGGCCATGGTGGCCCAAGAGGCAGTGATAGTGGTGATAACTTGAGGGGCGGCAGCAGAGCAGTTCATCCCACCAGTCGTGGTCCCCAAAAGCCTCAACCGCCTCTACTTCCTCTTCGGAGCGCCCATCAGAACAAAAGGTGAGAGCTGGTAGCGGCGGTGAAACAGGTGCAGTGGTAGTGGTGGTGGTGGTGACTTGAGGGGCGGCAGCAGAGCAGTTCATCCCGCCAGTCGTGGCGCCCAAGGGGCTCAACCGCCTCTACTTCCTATTCGGGGCGCTCATCAGAACAAAGGGTGAGAACGGAGGTGTAAGATTGTCTGCAGGGTATGCGTTACAGGCAAACACTCAAGCACTCTTCTCCCTCCTCTCCCTCCTTCTTCCCCCTCCCCACTCATCCACCCTTTCCCCTCCTCCCCAGGCATGTCGCACCTACTGACAGACAAGGCAGCAGCAGCAGAGCTGTATGCACATGTGAAGGGGGAGGTGTAAGACGGGCTGCAGTACCTGCTGAGGAAGAGGGAGGAGGATCCTTACAACCCAACACTCTTTCCCCTCCTTACCTACCAAACCCCACATCCCCACCCATCCACACAAATCTACACCCATCCACACCATCCCGAACCCCTTTCCAACCAGGCATGAAGCACCTGCTAACAGACAAGGCAGCAGCAGCAGAGCTGTATGCACATGTGAAGGGTGAGGTGTAGGGTGGGCTGCAGTATCTTCTGAAAAAGAGGGAGGAGGACCCATGAAAGGAAAAGCTCTTCTGACTCCCTTCCCTACCAACCCCCCATCCCCACCCATCCTCACCCCCCTGATTTCCTTTCCAACCAGGCATGAAGCACCTGCTAACAGACAAGGCAGCAGCAGCAGAGCTGTATGCACATGTGAAGGGGGAGGTGGAGGGTGGGCTGCAGTATCTTCTGAAAAAGAGGGAGGAGGATCCATACAATGACCCTGTGCCGCGGTTGCTTTATGAGGCCACGTGGGGAGGGGAGAAGCAGGCTCCCACGTTTAAGCCTTGACAGAGAATTGTATGTAAGGGGAGGTGCAAGAGGGACTGCAGTATCTGCTGAGGAAGAGGGAGGAGGATCCGTACAATGACCCTGTGCCGCGATTGCTTTATGAGGCCACGTGGGGAGGGGAGAAGCAGGCTCCCACGTTTAAGCCGTGACGGAAGTCTGTATGTAACGCGGCTTCAGTATCTGTATGTAACAAGGTAAAGAATGGACCTCATTATCTGCTGGGGAAGAGGGAGGGAGGAGGATCCATACAATGACCCTGTGTTGTGATTGGTGTATGAGGCCACGTGCGGAGGGGAGAGGCAGGGTCCCACGTTCAAGCCTTGAGATGGGTTTGCATGGAAAAGGGAGGTAGAGAATGGGCTTCAGTACCTACAGAGAAAGAGAGAGGAGTATCCTTACAATGACCATGTGTCTTGGTTGGTGTATGTATGAGGGCCATGTGGGGAGGATAAGCGCTCCCACGTTCAAGCCTTAAAAAAGGCATGTATGTGAAGGGATGTACAAGATATGTTACAATTGCTAAAATCAACAATGTTCAGCTCCTTTATTTAACGTGCAACAAGATCACTCAGAAATTTACATTTTATTTACTGTTAGGTATGTGGTAAAGGTGCCAGGAACACTCTTGAGACAGGAGAAATGGTGTAGTTCCGGTACTCGGCAGCAAGAGGCTGTTCGAGAAGTGGAGGGGTAGATGCACGCACAATCCAAGAGATACTGTACGCACATGGTGAAGGTTGTACCTGCGCCTCCGTCCTTCAACCACGCACATGGTGAAGGTCACACCTACGCTTGAATCCAACGGAGAACCAGGTCGCTTTACAGGTTGAAATCACCGAGCCTCGAGGTCAGGTCGAATTGACTCAAACCTGCGGTTCGATCTTCATTGTTACAAGGCACCGCGCCGCATCAGCCTCGCTCCCTGGACGTCATCCAACCAATCCCAACGCAGGAATGCCAAAGCACTTCAGTGGATATGACGCATATAAATTCACCCCTCAATCGGAATTTGATCGTAGTGAATTGCAAACAACGCAATTGAAGCAACTGAGTTGAAACCAGTAATTTGTTTGCGCCCAATCGTCCTCACCATAGTAGTAGCTCGTCAGAATGGCTCGATCTGCGCTTCTAGTGCTCTCCCTTGCGCTGCTCGTCGTCTTCGCGCGCGCCGGAAGCCCCATCACGAGCTCCTCCGCGAATGAGAAACCCGATCCGAGCGGAAAGAAGGACGACGGGCTCATGACAGACATTCCGCAAGACATCGCGAAACAGGCTGCGACGGGTAACGCGGCAGGTGTAACATACGTCGATACCGCACAGGATTCGTTTTTCATGGCTGACGTGAAAAAGGCCGGGTGGAACGCGCAGAAATGCCCCCCCGGTCTGAACAAGGAGCTTGCGGGCGCGTGCACTCCGAAAAATTGCTCCAAGGGCGGAATTGCGGCCAAGTGGAAAACCGCGTATCTGCAGAAGAACAAGCTCGGTTACGAATTGTACGTACCGGGTAACCCGCTGACGCTGCTCAAGGCGAACCCCGCGTCGTGCTGCAACACCTGCGCCGCGACCCCGCTCTGCACGTATTGGCAGTACATTCCCGATATTACCATCGACGGGAAGAAGGGCAAAGGCGCGTGCTATTTGATTCACGACCAGATTGATTTCACGTGCGGTGAGATGACCGCGCAGTACAGTACCGAGACGAAGCCCGTGCATCTCCAGGTGCGCATCGGCGGCGAGTGTAACCCTAGCCCGAAAATTCTTAACGACCCGCATCTGGTCGGCGCGCAAGGCACGCATTTCGACTTCAACGGCCGGCCCGACAAGGCGTTCTGCCTGCTCACCGACAGGAACCTTCACATGAACATGCTCCTGAGGGGTTATTATGACGAGAACACCGATAATGCGGCACTTGTTGTTGACGGGAAGGCCGTGCACACGTGGATTAAGGAGCTAGGTATTGTGTGGACGGCTGGAGGCGTGGACCGTAAGTTCCGGATCGCGGCGCGCGGCGGCAAGCAGCAGGAGCGCGGCGACGGGTTCGTGAAGAGCATCGAGATTGACGGCGAGGAGATTCCGCGCATGCAGGTTGGCGATAGGGTTACCAGCGACGGTGGACTGACGATCGAATTCCGCGGGTTGGAGAAGGAGGGGCCGTTCGATGTGGATTATTACATGCTGTCCATCGCAGGGTTAATTACCCTCGACCTGCGCCTGCGCGTCGCGCATCCCAAGCTCCAGACCCCCACGGATGCCGAGGCGCACATCAACGTCGGGATTGCTGAGCTCGAGCATACGGAGGAGATTCACGGTGTGCTCGGGCAAACATACCGCGCAGACCACGCTGCCCGCGCCGCGGATTTCCAGCGCCTCGTCGCGAACCTGCACCGTCCGATCTCCGCCGATGGCGCGGAGGGGAAGGGCTTTTTGGATGGGACACCCCGGTCCTACGAGGCGAGCGATGTGCTTGCTGTGGACTGCGCTTATACCGCGTATGGCCGTGCCAGGAAGGTGATGCCCGTGCAGGAATTCCCGTAAAGAACTGACTCGGAGGACTGACAGGGGGTTGGATTGTATGGTGGGCTGAAAGCAAATTCATATGTTTATGCCATTTAAGCTGCATGCTCCTCATGTTCGAAACCTTTTATTAACTCATTCTTTTCTGGTACAAAGATTATGTGACCTGCTCTGTATCTTGGGTTAAGCGTGTGCCACAAAATAGATGTATATATTGCCTAGCTTTACCAGAGATTTGGTTAACAGTAAAACAACTTGCATCTGGAGCTTTACTCGGTGGGAGAATGAGGGGAAGCTGCCAGCTGGTGTTCTCAACGCGAATCTCCAGAGGAAGGATTCATTTCATCGCACAGGACCACAATCCCTGGGAGGCCATACCTGGGAAGGGGGGATGAAGACATAAAGGGCAGCCAGTTCAATTGGGGGATACAGGAAGAAGCAAAATGAACCCATCCCCCCCTCCCCCTTCTTCCCCTCTCCCACCCACCCCGCCCAAAAAAAGCGGATAACTATGGTCCTGCTACTTAACATCAATGTACCTACCCACTGCCCTACCTTGCTCTCCACTCACTCACTGAGTCACTCTGTAGAACAACACCTCTTCCTACCTTTCTGCAATTAATTCTCCCCCATACGACACTCTGTAGAACAACACCTCCCCTTAATGCAAGGGCGGCACGTGCTCTGTCCTTTACCCTTTTACACCCTCCCTCTATCCTCTACTCCCTCTCACTCACTCTGTAGAGGACCTGCGCTTGACCAGGGCAAGCAGCACGGGGTTGGTCGTAGCCCTTAGGGCAAGTGGGATTTGAAGTGAGAGGCTGTGAACCCTTACTCCCCCTCACTCACTCTGTAGAAGACCTGCCCTTGGCTAACACAAGGGGCATGTGACCGGTCGTAGCCCATAGGCCAAGTGGACTCTGAAGTGAGAGGCTGTGATCCCTTACTCCTCCCCCCCCCCCTCACTCACTCTGTAGAAGACCCGCGCTTGGCTAACACAAGGGGCACGAGGCCGTAGTGGCGAGCGAGAGTAGGTGGAGTTGAAAAGATTGCCTTCCCACAGCCACACGCGCTCTCCATTCTATGCTCTCTCTCTATCCTCTACTCCCCCTCACTCACTCTGTAGAAGACCCGCGCTTGACTAATGCAAGGGGCACGGGGCCGTAGTGGCGAGCGTCAGTGGAATTAAAAATATTGTCTCCTTGCAGCCACGCGTGCTCTGTCTTGTAGCTTTCAACCCTCTCCCTCTATCCTCTACTCTCCCTCACTCACTCACGAGGCCGTAGTGGCGAGAGTCAGTGGAATTGAAGAGATTGTCTCCTTGCAGCCACACGTGTTCTGTCTTGTAGCTTTTAACCCTCTCCCTTTATCCTCCCTTCCCCCTCAATCGCTCTGTAAAAGGCTCTTCCCTTGACTAATGCAAGGGGCACAGGGCCGTAGTGACGACAAGAGTCAGTGAAGTTGAAGAGATTGTCTCCTTGCAGCAACACGTGGCCTCCCTTCTATGCTATCCCTCTATGCTCTTCTCGCCCTCACTCTCTCTCACTCCCGCTCACTCACTCTGTAGAAGACTAGTTCTGGGGCGCCTCAAAAATAGACTCACTCCCCCTCGCTCACTCTGTAGAAGACTCTTCCCTTGACAAGGGCAAGGGGCACCGGGCCACACTGCCGAGATTCTTTGGAGTTGAAGAAATAGTGGCCTTGCAACTAACTACATGTGCTCTCCATTCTATGCTCTCCCTATATCCTCTGCTCCCTCTCACTCACTCTGTAGAACACTCGTCCCTTGACCAGAGCAAGCGGCACGGGGCCGTAGTGGCGAGAGTCAGTGGAGTTGAAGAGATTGTCTCCTTGCAACCACACATGCCCTCGTGGGACCTGATGGGGTGGAGGGGAGTGCAGTGCGGTGGAGGGAAGTTGGTGCGGTAGCGGGAACAACAGGAGAGAGCTGGTGCTGGCAGAACAGGGGAAGGGCGGTGGCTGGTGCTGCGAACGTGCAGGGAAGGTGCAGGGAAGGTGCAAGGAAAGTGCATCGAAGGTGCAGGGAACATGCCTCAATGTGCATGCACTTCATGGCGACAGGAGTCAAAGAAACCCATGTCATACTCGCTCACCACTGTGTACAACTTCAGAAACGCCTCAGAAACCGCATGCCATACTTACTCACCACGAGGAGGCATGGCATGCACTTCATGGCAACAGGAGTCAAAGTAACCCATGTCATACTCGCTCACCACCGTATACATCTTCAGAAACGCCTCAGAAACCGCATGCCATACTTACTCACCACGAGGAGGCATGGCATGCACTTCATGGCAACAGGAGTCAAAGAATCCCATGTCATACTCGCTCACCACCGTATACATCTTCAGAAACGCCTCAGAAACCGCATGCCATACTTACTCACCACGAGGAGGCATGGCATGCACTTCATGGCAACAGGAGTCAAAGAATCCCATGTCATACTCGCTCACCACCGTATACATCTTCAGAAACGCCTCAGAAACCGCATGCCATACTTACTCACCACGAGGAGGCATGGCATGCACTTCATGGCAACAGGAATCAAAGAATCCCATGTCATACTCGCTCACCACTGTATACAACTTTAGAAACGCCTCAGAAACCGCATGCCATACTTACTCACCACGAGGAGGCATGGCATGCACTTCATGGCAACAGGAGTCAAAGAAACCCATGTCATACTCGCTCACCACTGCATACATCTCTTAAAACGCCTCAGATATCGTATTTTGAGTCGACTCAAAAATATTTTTGAGGCACCTCGTGCCCCTCCATCGCCACCACGCGCTTGCACACCATCATGCGCGGGTTGAAATTGGGACACTTGGCCCTACAGGTCTGAATCACCACGAGCTCTATAGCAGCTATACTCACCACTGTGTGTGCATGCCTCCTCTGCTTCCTCTACTTCCACCCATGCCTGCCTCCTCTACTGACACCCATGCCTGCCTCCTCTACTTACACCCATGCCTGCCTCCTCTACTTCCACCCATAAACCCCCTGGTCAGTGGAGGCATGGCATGCACCTCATGCCCCTCCATCGCTACGATCCGCTTGCACACCATCATGCACGGGTTACAGGGGGACTTGCGACTATTGAGTCGACTCAAAAGGTTACAGGGGGACTTGCGACTATTGAGTCGCCTCAAAAGGTTACAGGGGGACTTGCGACTATTGAGTCGACTCAAAAGGTTACAGGGGGACTTGCGACTATTGAGTCGACTCAAAAGGTTACAGGGGGACTTGCGACTATTGAGTCGACTCAAAAGGTTACAGGGGGACTTGCGACTATTGAGTCGACTCAAAAGGTTACAGGGGGACTTGCGACTACAGGTGAGAAATCACATCATAATCACTCCTATAGCAGCCATACTCACCACTGTGTGTGTTTCCGCATGCCTGCCTCCTCCACTTCCACCCATGAACCCTCTGGCCGCAGGAGGAGGCATGGCATGCACCTCATGCCCCTCCAGCGCTACGATCCGTTTGCACACCATCATGCGCGGGTTGGATGGAGGGAGAGTAGGCGACTACAGGCGCCACTACAGCACTCACGCACCACTACAGCAGCGACACTCACCACTGTATGTGTTTCTGCATGCTTGCCTCGTCCCCCAAACACCATCCCTCTGGGTGGAGGAGGCATGGCATGCACCTCATGCCCTTCCATAGCCACAATCCGCTTGCACACCATCATGCGTAGGTTGGAGGGGGACTTGGCGACTACAGACGTGAATCACCACGCACTCACCACTACAGCAGCGACACTCACCACTGCATGTGTTTCTGCGTGCTTGCCGCGTCCCCCAATCACCATCCCTCTGGGTGGAGAAGGCATGGCATGCACCTCACTCCCCTCCATTGCCACCACGCGCTTGCACACCATCATGCGCGGGTTGGATGGGAACTTGGCGACGAGGAGGCATATTCAGCAATCAGCATTACAGCAGCTACACTCAAACACTCACCACTGTATGAGTTTCCGCATGCTTGCCTCGTCCACCCATGAATCCCCTGGTCGCAGGAGGCATGGCATGCACCTCACTCCCCTCCATCGCCACCACGCGCTTGCACACCATCATGCGCGGGTTGGAAGGGGACTTGGCAACTACAGGTGTAAAATCACCACGCACTCACCACTACAGCAGCTATACTCACCACTGTGCGTGTTTCTGCGTGCTTGCCTCGTCCACCCATGAATCCCCTGGTTGCAGGAGGCATGGCATGCACCTCACTCCCCTCCATCGCCACCACTCGTTTGCACACCATCATGCGCGGGTTGGATGGGAACTTGGCGACGAGGAGGCATATTCAGCAATCAGCATTACAGAAGCTACACTCAAACACTCACCACTGTATGTGTTTCTGCGTGCTTGCCTCGTCCACCCATGAATCCCCTGGTTGGTGGCGGCATGGCATGCACCTCATGCCCCTCCATCGCCACCACCCGCTTGCACACCATCATGCGCGGGTTGGAAGGGGACTTGGCGACGACAATGTCGCCGGGCTTTAAGGCGTGCAGCGCGGGCGTGATGTGCTCTAGTAGGACCACGTCCCCTGCTGCGTTCAATGTGGGAAGCATGCTGGGACCCATGCACTGGGGTGGAGGGGAGAAGGGGAGAGATGGTGGTTACATGAGTAAAGAGGAGGAGAGGGAAGGAGGCTTTAAGCCTTGCAGGGCGGGCGTGATGTGCTCCAGTAGAACCACGTCGCCTGCTGCGTTGAGCGTGGGGAGCATGCTGGGACCCATGCACTGGAAAAGGGGAGATGATGATGAAAGGAAAGAAGATGAGGCTTTAAGGCGTGCAGGGCGGGCGTGATGTGCTCTAGTAAGACCACGCCTCCTGCTGCGTTGAGCGTGGGGAGCATGCTGGGACCCATGCACTGGAACAGAAAGGGGATCGAAGCGGAAGGGGGGGAGGGTGGGTGGGGTGGGCGAGGAGGGGGGGTGTTATATGGGTAAACAAGGGCGGGTGTGATGTGCTGTAGTAAAACCACGTCCCCTGCTTCGTTTAATGTGGGGGGCATGCAGGGACCCATGCACTGGGGGGGAAAGGGGTTCTGGAAGGAGGAGTTGAATATGGGTGAAGAAGAGGAGACAAAAGGAGGCTTCAATGAACCAGGGTGACATCATTACTTACCCGAGAGACGTCATCATGTACCATGATGACGACCATGACGTAGTTACAGTACACATGGTAGCGGCATGCAATATGGGACTATGGTATCCCATGGTGACATCATCACGAGCCATAGTGACGTCATCACGTACCATGGTAACATCCATGACGTAGTTCGTGAACACATGGTAGCAGCACGCGAATTGGGTCATCATAGATCATACTGAGATTATCAGAAACAGAGCGACATCATAACGTATCACAGTGACGTCATCACGTACCATGGTGACATCCATGACGTAGTTCGTGAACACATGGTAGCAGCACGCGAATTGGGTCATCAAAGCCGCTCTGTCCCACGCCTCTCTCAGTAGCGCGCGCCACGACATCAGACCAATGTGGATTCTGGTGGATAAGAACTGCCGACGTGGACGCTGACGTGGACTACCGTGCCGCGATCATGGATGTAGACGACTGCTACGCCATCGGCGCCTGACAATCTATTTTTTTTCACTTACTCCCTTTTGAATAATCAAATAAGGAGACTTGTGAGATAACGCAAGCTTATTAGCCGTTAACGTACCGGGTGGGTTGGTTTCGCCAATCGTTTTGAAATTTCTCAAAAAACGACCTACGCGAACCTCTGAGTAATCGGAACGTGAGAACTTAGCGAAACGAGGCGATTTGGCGGAGAGGAAGTGGCGATGGAATTGAGAAGCGTTGGCGAAATTAAACGAGTTGGCGGAATGAGAAGAAGCGGTATGGATTGAGGGATTTCGGATGAGTCATGTGGAAAGGATTGTGCCGTTCAAGAACGCATAGGATCCGCCTCGACCGCGTCTGCGCTTCGCAAAGCCCGGAGCTATGGCGCCTTGCGAAGTGTCCTGCGGCAAAATACGCGGCGGAGTTCACGGAAACAGCAATGTGTGAACTAAAAATGAAGTTCAGGTGTCTCATACTTTCCAGCTTTTGAGGTGGTTTGAGTGAAATTGGACTTGTTCTGAGGTTGAGCAGATTAGTTGGGGACGTGTTCTACATTTCCCGAAAAATAGTTCTGTCTTTCGGCCTACAGTACCTGGAATCGAGTGGTCAACAAACAGAAACCAAAAAGACCAGTCTCAAACAGAAATATCCGTTTACCAGCCACTATTTTACAAAACTGCTCTCCACCACATCTGAACCATTTATGAATTGAGGTGCAGTACCGACGTCAAAGTTAGCAGGAATGGGCCCTCACGGTGCTTGCTTACTTCAATAACAATTGATGCTCATGGTTGGTTTTGGTGTGCATTGGTTCCAAGCGGTAAATGCACTATCGCTCTTAACCGCGATATAATACAATGAACCGCGAGTTCGGCAATGAATGTGGTATGGGTCTCACTCGCCAGAGTCGTGTCTTGCTTGATTCATGGTCACGCAGCAAAGCAGAGGAGAGGTGAATCTGGGAACACGAGGTCGCACTTGTCGCTGCAGCTGCTCCTTGGGCATCTTTACGGGTTAGCCCAGCAAGACAGTTCGAAGTTCCATTCAGTTGTGGATCGTATGCAATAGATTACTGTCAAGGCTCGTCTGCTAGTAGCTCTGTTCACCGTGCAAGAAATTTGTTTTCAGAATTTTCGAGAATCTCTCGCCGTCATGTCGTCTGACGAGAGTCGTCTGCGCGAGGTTGTCACGGCGATTCTAGAAGCCGGCGACCTGGAAGAATTGACTGAGAAAAAAGTTCGTCAGTTAGCGCGCGAGAAGACGGGGATTGACACGTCAGCAGATGCGAACAAGCAACTAATCCACAAGATAGTTAAAGCCTTCGTGGAGGAGGAAGCGGAGGATACAAGAGCGAAAAAACGGAAGAAGCAGAGAAAGGGATCGGATGAGGACAGCGGGAGTGAGAAGGAGGAGGAGGAAGAGGAAGAAGAGGAGAAAGGGAAAGGGAAGTCACGGAAAGGAGGGAAGAAGTGGAAAGTGGGAGACGGCGGAGAGCTTGTGATTTGCGAGGTGAGATTGAGTGGTGAGGTGAGATTGAGACGTTTTAGATACGGTTGGCAGAGTATAGGCCATTGGAAAGGCGGGAAGAAGTGGAAAGTAGGTGACGGCGGAGAGCTTGTGACCTGTGAGGTATGATTACACGTATTAGATGTGGTTGACATGTGTGACATACGTTGATTGACAATGAGAGAAGGCTGACAGGGTTTAGGTAAGGTTGACAGGGTTGAGATAAGGTTGACAGGGGTGAGAGAAAACTGCCAAGTCATCTAGCTCTCTCAAGGCAGTCCAGCTCTTTGGACAGAGAACTCATCGGCGGCGGAGTGGGACAGGTTCGGGTGCAGGGTTGGGGCTAGGGTCGGCGGAGGGGTTCGAGAGGTATGATATGGTACAGGTGGCTGTGGATAAAGAGGTGATGGAAGGGTTTATATGGGTTGGCTTCGTAGGGGGGGAGGAGAGGAGGGGGGATCTGCAGCGGAGGTATCGCCTGAGAGACTTTTTGAGAATTCTCAAAAAACACTCTTTGCAGCGGAGGGATTACCTGAGAGACCAGAGGATAGGTTGAGAGGTCAGGTGGTGGTATGGTTGCTGCGACGCACGCGTCGGGCTTGCTCATGTCTAAGTTGACAGTGAGTTGAAGGGGCGCTTGCTCGTGTCTGTAGTCGATTCTGAAGCCACCCTGTGTCAACTCTCCCCCCTCCCTCCCTCCCTCCCTCACCCCCTCAGCCTGATCATATCATTGCTGCAGCTGTCTGGGAAGTGCAAGTTGACAGTGGGAGGATTCAAGGGGCGCTTGCTCGTGCCTGTAGTCGATTCTGAAGCCACCCTGTGTCAACTCTCCCCCCTCCCTCCCTCCCTCCCTCACCCACTCAGCCTGATCATATCATTGCTGCAGCTGTCTGGGAAGTGCAAGTTGACAGTGGGAGGATTCAAGGGGCGCTTGCTCGTGCCTGTAGTCGATTCTGAAGCCACCCTGTGTCAACTCTCCCCCCTCCCTCCCTCCCTCCCTCACCCACTCAGCCTGATCATATCATTGCTGCAGCTGTCTGGGAAGTGCAAGTTGACAGTGGGAGGATTCAAGGGGCGCTTGCTCGTGCCTGTAGTCGATTCTGAAGCCACCCTGTGTCAACTCTCCCCCCTCCCTCCCTCCCTCCCTCACCCCCGCAGCCTGATCATATCATTGCTGCAGCTGTCTGGGAAGTGCAAGTTGACAGTGGGAGGATTCAAGGGACGCTTGCTCGTGTCTGTAGTCGATTCCGAAGCCACTCTGTGTCAACCCTTCCCCCCCCCCTCCCTCCCTCACTCCCTTGGCCGTATCACATCATTGCTGCAGCTGTCTGGGAAGCTCAAGCTAGCAGTGAGTGAGTTCAAGGGGCGCTTGCTGGTGTGTTGAGCCGACTCAAACTGAAAAACCATCCCATATCTTCCCTGCCTTTCCTCACCGCCCTTTGATGTATCCTTGCTGCAGCTGTCTGGGAAGCTCAAGCTAACAGTGAGTGAGTTCAAGGGACGCTTCCTGGTGTATGGAGCCGACTCAAACTGAAAAACCATCCCATATCTTCCCTGCCTTCCCTCGCCGCCCTTTGATGTATCCTTGCTGCAGCTGTCTAGGAAGCGCAAGCTAGCAGTGAGTGAGTTCAAGGGACGCTTCCTGGTGTGTTGAGCCGACTCAAACTGAAAAACCATCCCATATCTTCCCTGCCTTCCCTCGCCGCCCTTTGATGTATCCTTGCTGCATCCCTCCCTCCCTCACTCCCTTGGCCGTATCACATCATTGCTGCAGCTGTCTGGGAAGCGCAAGCTAGCAGTGAGTGAGTTCAAGGGGCGGTTGCTGGTGTCGATACGCGAGTACTATGAAAAAGGCGGCAAGGAGATGCCTTCCTCTAAAGGTGTGTGTATTATCCCTCCGACCCTCGGACCCCTCTAACACGTGAGTGAGTGGCGCTTGCTGGTGTCGATACGCAGGTACTATGAGAAAGGCGCCAAGGAGATGCCCTCAGCTAAAGGTGGGTGCATAATTTGTGTCCTACACCTCGCTTCACCGATACAATATCACCTTCACCACCACTTCTAGATAGACCAGACCAGATGTGCCTACGACATCTGTTAAAAATATATGTTTTTCGTTCATCACAAACATGTGCCTTCAAAATTTTTGTGTGCGGGCAAGCGTTTTCCAGTTCATCACCTCCTTACCATTCTTTTCTTCTTGACTGTATTCTCTTTTCATGCAGGTATCAGTCTTCCTCCTGACCAATGGGACAAGCTGGTTAGGCACATTGATACTGTACAAGAGGCCATTGACCACTTGTCATAGTACGCTACTTTTGATTCGCCTCGCAACTTTGCACAGTATAGGAAGCTAGTGTACACTAGGCATAGTGCATAGATATACTTTTGTGGCAACCTGACCAATGGGATAACCTGTGGTGAGGCACATTGATTTGTACAGGAGGCCACTGAACACTTGTCAAGAGGTGGCTTCAGGTTTTGCTAGTGAATTTAATGTTTACAGGTGTTACGGTTGCAATGAATCGAGGTAGCGAGAATTGCACTTGTTGGGAACAATAAGTCTTAAGCGCCTCTGTCGTGTCGAAACTCAGGACGCTAGCAAAGCAGTCCGAATCGAAGCATCGCGAGTCAACCCTCGGAGGTTAGGGTAACCGCCTGGAGGTTACAAGAAAGTCAAAGGTCAGCGACCTTTGACTCGACAATTACAGCGCGACAGCAAGGACACACAACTGACTCGACATTGAGCAGTTGCCCGAGTCGCACTGTATCGAATCGCAACAGTAAAACGGTTTAAACCTATTCATTCGTATTCCTTGTACTCTTATATAAACCTTTGTATTTGCTTGTTTAATCAACTTTACTTTGCCCTCACATACTAGCTCAAGGTGGTTCAATGACTTTCATTCAAACGCTTCCGCTATTACAATCCTACTCAGTCCTTAAACTCTACAAAGATCCTGGGGCTTCTCAGCCCAACATGGTATCAGAGCAGTTAGAGTATAACGGCTATCTTTTCTCTCAACACTCAATACAAAGAAATTAGACATGTCTGCAAGGAAGGAGAGGAGCTCCTCCAACGGCTCACCAAGCACTACTCCTACTCCACCTCTTGCCTCTGGTCTACAGACAGAGGAAGGCACTACCGCAAGACCAGCAGCTGGGTCCACGGAAACACCCGCAGGCTTCGATCCAAACATGATGGAAAATTTTTTCTCCTTCATGTCCTTCTACGAGCAACACCAGCAAGGAGTGCCTGCGCAGTTAAACAACAGCAACAACAACAACGTTACTCCGATGAGTCTCGACGGCTCATCCTACGCACGCGGGATTCAACAACAACAACAGCAGCCTACCTTTGCGCCGTACGAGCCCCAACGTGGCTCCGTCAGCTTCGTGCCGCAACCGCAACCTGCGTCGGGACAAGAAAGGACATTGGATGCGTTACAAGTCCAATCGCAATTCGCGCATGTCCTAAAACTACAGACAACAAAGCCTTTCGACGGCAAAGATTTCTTCACCTGGTTGTTCGAGTTCGAACTGATGATGGAAGGAGCACAGATTCTTGGCTTCTTCGACGGGTCCCTGCCATATCCAACAAACGGGACACAATATGAGAAGCAGCAATATGCATATCAGTCGATGATGGCGTACACGATTCTGCTGAGGAACATCACCCCAACCCAGCAGCAGAACATCAGGACTTACCGAGGCTACGGCAACTCCGCGGAGCTCGCGTACAACCATCTGAAGAACCTGTATCAAGCAACAGACAGCGTAAACCAAAGCAGGTTAATGGCACAGTTTACAACGATTGAAATGAAACCAGGCGAGAAAGGCATGGCTTATATCAGCCGCTGCCGCGAACTGCGCGACAAGCTTCTTCGATGCGGCGGGTCAATTTCAGAAGACGCCTTTGTCACGGTGGTCATCGGTGGTCTCGGCCCCCACTGGCGCTCCACTCGCGCCATATTACGAGCACACGGGAGGATCTCCGAAGCGGCACTCTGCGCCGAAATTCATGCTGAGCAACAGGACATGGACCTGCAAGAAGAAAGACACAATTTGAAAGCATTAGCACCAGAATTTGCTTTTCACACTCAGCGTCGACACAACGGCAACAACAATCGACAACAGCAAGTGAAAACGGTACCTCCGTTCTGCCACATCTGCAAGACCTCGGGCCATCCTCGCACGCATTGCCCGTCTCGTCAGACGACACCACAGCGACAACTGCGGCGTTCAAGCTCCCAAGTTGCTTCAACGCAAGCAAGTCCGACGACCACGATCCAAACTTCAACGACTTCAACTGGACAACCTGCACAAGGAACAAGAAGCATCGTCAACTGCATGGTGAAGATAAACGACTCGTGCACAACCGAATCACCACCGCACTACTCACCGGAAGAAGAGCTTGACAACAGGACGCCTCGCCGCGAATCACTCCAGCCGAATCCAACGTACGCCGCAATCGCTCAAAGCGAACCGTCCGGCCAAGACACTTGGTTCTTGGATAGTTGCTGCGGGCAACACATGTGCTCCTCCGGGCGCTTCGTACAACGCGAACATCGACTCCAGCGAGAAGTAGTCATCACGGTCGCCAACAACCAAAACCTGCGCACAAGACGACAAGGAGTCGTTCAGCTTCAATCAAGAGAAACCAACGTCATACTACACATGTCGAAAGTACTCATCGCAGAAGGACTTGGTTACAACTTACTGAGTGTTAGCCAGCTGATGGCGAAGGGGATTCACCTGGAAGCCGACAGCACCACCCAGGAGTTCAAGTTATACCACGGGAGGGGCGGTCTCTACATCGGGAGAGCAGTGTTGAAGAACAACGTCTTCGTTCTTGACTTCGTCCCCGACCTAGGCACTGCAGACAGCGACGCCATCGTCAACTTTACCGACTGGACACACCCTCCGGACCTCGATCCCGACTTCAGCCCAGGAGGCTTCTGGTACTCACACACCATCCCTGAAGCAGAGCGAACACGAGCATTAGCAACAATTCAACAATCGGCAGCAGCAGAGACAACACTGGCAGCAGCAGAGACAACAATAGCAGCAGCAGAGACAACATCGGCAGCAGCACGAACAACAACATCAGTCATCGTCGACGAAGAACCACCAACACCCGCACAACAGCTGAACCCTACTCAACGAGAAGTCCACCGCAGCGCCAACTTTGTCGCCAGTTTTTACTCCAAATCTGGCACGCACGCACAGGGCATCCAAGCAACACGGTATTAAACAATACGATACGAGCAGGAGTGCTTGACAAAGATTCGCTACTACTACTCGACGGGAGAGAACTTCAACGGGCACGAGGAACTTGCCACATCTGCCCTAAAGCCGACTTACCCCATCGACCGTTTTCTTCTCATCACAACCCGAGCGCACCTGCATACGCACCACTCGAAAAGGTCTATAGCGACATCCTCTACAATCGAGAACCAGGCCAAGTGACCTATAATTACACGATCACCTTCATCGACGCCGCCACTCGATACGTTTGGCATTGCAACCTACCCAGCCGCGACATGGCACTCGCAGCTTTCGCCGCCTGGCTACCGATAGCAAAGAGGGAATCAGGAACGCAGCTGAAAAGCTTCCAGTCAGACGGAGGTGGCGAGTACACCTCTCAGCGCTTCAAGCAGTACCTGGCGGAAAGGGGAATCAAGCAACTCCTCTCCCTTCCCTACGCACATCAGCAGCAAGGTGTTGCAGAAAGAATGAACAGGACTCTGCAGAACAGCATGCGCAAACTGTTACGTGGCATGCGGCTACCCAACCACCAGTGGCCAGCAGCAATGGACCATGCTGTTGTCAAACATTATATGTTTGTGTGGTTCTAGGCTGTAGTGGGTCACACCATAAGGGGTACACCAGATTAGGGTTTGACATATTTGTACTGTTGTTCCTGCTAGTCACTCCTCATTCTCGTTTCTCATTTTGACATGGTATTACGAGCCTAGGTTCCACCTAGGACCGAAACGATAGGGCCCACCGTTTCCGCTAGCTGCGCCCTCGTGCGCCGCCGTTCTTTTTCCTGCGCCTCGAGCGCCTCCTTCTCAAGGCCCCGTATGGCCCCGCGCTAGCCTCTCACGGCCCCCGATCGGCCCCGCGCTAGCCTCCTAAGGCCCCCGTCGGCCCCACGCTAGCCCCGCGCTAGCCTCCTAAGGCCCCCGATCGGCCCCGCGCTAGCCTCCTAAGCCCCCGTCGGCCCCACGCTAGCCCCGCGCTAGCCTCCTAAGGCCCCCGATCGGCCCCGCGCTAGCCTCCTAAGGCCCCCGTCGGCCCCGCGCTAGCCTCCCACGGCCCCTGCAGGCCCCGCGCTAGCCTCTCACGGCCCCTTAAGGCCCCACGCTAGCCTCCCACGTCCCCTGCAGGCCCCGCGCTAGCCTCTCACGGCCCCCCCCTTTGGCCCCGCGCTAGCCCCGACCGGCCCTCTTGCGCTCGCCCCTCTACGACCGAGCCGCACGGCGCGACCCGAACCGAACCGCGCGACCCAGCCGAGCCGCGCCGCCCCAGCCGAGCCGCGCCGCCCTAGCCGAGTCGCGCCGCCCTAGCCGAGTCGCGCCGCCCTAGCCGAGCCGCGCCGCCCTAGCCGAGCCGCGCCCTACTTACCTGTGCACAGCACTGCTACTGCTACTGCTACTGCTACTGCTACTGCTACTACCACCACTGCTGCTACTGCTACTTCAGCTATGGCTAGCCCTACAGTTCTCTCGTTCGATTCTGAGGGCCGCCCGATTAAGTTTGATACCTGGCTCGATGATCTGCATCTGTTCCTCCAGCTCACTGCCAGAGAGGATATCTCGCTGTACGATCACGCACTAGGCACAGTCCCTGCTCCTGCTACTATTGCTACCGCTACTGCTCGCTCGCAGTGGCAGACTCGCGATGCCCACACCCGCTTTGCTATTCGCAACTCCCTGCCAGTAGATGAGCGTGAGCACTTTGGCCAGCATCAGACTGCGCAGGCCCTATACACTGCTGTAGTTGCGCGCTACTCCTCCCCGGCCTCAGCTGCACTAGGCCGTCTCTCCCTTCCCTACCTGTTCCCCGACCTGTCCGCTTTCCAGACAGTCGCTGACCTCATCACTCACCTCCGTACTAGTGATGCCCGCTTCCGTGCAGCCATGCCCGCTGAGTTTCTTGCCTCCAACCCTCCCCCGCTCTGGCTCACTCTCTACCACCTAGTCACCCGCCTCCCTGACACTATGCGTACAGTCAAGGACCACTTCCTAGCTCGCTGCCCCACTGAGCTCACCATTACCGCCCTAGAGAAGGAACTACTTGCAG